ACGGCTAGCATGCGGGCTAAAGATTGTCGTAAACAACGCATGGGCCTCATAAAACTATCTTATAAAGACTATCTTATCTGGTTTGAAGCCGATATAATCGGCTTAGTTTGCGCAGCTTAAGGAATATCGATAGATCTTTTCTGAATATGAAAAACACCAAAGGGTGATTATGTTGATAATGCGAATGTAAGCAGACTACGCAAGTCTATTCAATCAACGAAAGACATTCGAATATTAAAATTATAAAGATTTGTCGGTACAGGTGTTTTGGAAAAAAGCGAGAAGTAACGAAACAAACGGAAGGTTAAATAATGTAACTTATTTCTATGGCTATGAAGTCGTATTTAGTTTAGACAGTGAATGTTCTATTAATCTTAAAATATTAATGTTATTCTCTTACATAAGTATTTAATAAATAAGACTAGTCGTTCTATAGGACAGAATCCTGAAATGACTCACCAGCTTTTTTTTTTCACCGCTCATAACAAGAACTGTGATTTCAGAATGTATTCATTAAAATTCAAAATCTGTTAAAACTGGATCTAGCGCATCAATAACTTCAATTACTCATCGGTAACTTAGGACTTGGAAAGTCAAGTATCTTCTACTACTGCGTAGTTCCTGTCCCTCTGCCGTGCGCATTAGAAAGCTCAAGGCCGTGCCTACTCCTACTCAGTCCCTTTCGGAACGGATGTGAGACCACTTTGAAATGCTGTCTTTATAATCCAATTTAATGGATGATGCGCCCTCTTCGCGATTGCCCCAGTGTCCTCTATCAGTCGCATTATACAACAAGTAAGGATACCTGGTCTATTCTAGCAGCCCACCATCTTAGGCTGCTGACATTAATTACCTACCAGTTTATCGGACAAACTCATGCGCAAAATATTTTCAACGATTTAAAACAACCGGCTTTATTTGAAAATGTAAGATAATATCATCTAAATGCTGTAAGTTATCAGAAAGATAAAATCGTACAGTGTGTTAATATTAAAAATTGAACTACCATTCAATATAGGCGCAAACCGTTGAACCTTTAGAATCATAAATATACGTGTGTAAAGGCACGTAGTGCCCGAGCGCTCCCCATAAATGCCGATCTCTTTTATGCGATTTGAGATAAATCTAGTGTATCCGTCATTTAGCATTTCTTAGATCACATATACGTCACAGTGTCTTGATGTTAATGAGTCATGGCGCCTATACTGTGACGCAGTGCAAACGTGTTTCACTGACTTTATGTAATATACGCTATTGTTCTTTTTAACCCAATTTTCAAACAGAGCGTGCTCCCAATCTTATCGATGTGCGTGGACAATAACGTAAAAATGATATTATATGAGAGATAATGGTGACTAATTTTATCCTGACCGAAAAGCTCATTGGTGGTAGAATATGTTTTCTGTACCTTCAGTCCTGTCTTCATACTGCTGTTAATTATGTAAATAATTGCTTATATGTTAATGGGTCCAAAAGTAAATAATATTCTGATATTAATATTATAATTCTTTATTACATAAGTATTTCACAGAAATTGACTTTGTTATAAAAGTGCTTTTACTTGGAAAAGAAGTGCGTATAAAAATCAATATCAGTACGATGTTGCCAATAGTCTGATCTTGAAGTGTAGCCAATTTTTCTCGTTCTGCGTATTAGTAAAAATTGTGTATATGTTTTAAAGGAAAAACTTCTTCGAACAAAGTGAATCATTGAACACAGGAAATATGTGCTAAATTATTCCTAGCGTATTTAAATTTGTGAAAGGAGTATGTTAACCAAAGCGTTATGTTGACCGAATTATCAGTGTTCCACTTTCCCCTACCTTTTGTGTCTTCTCCAAAAGTTTTAAATATTTTCAGACTATGAGGTGCCGAAAATATAAATGTGTTGGTAAATCTTTCAATTGTTAACATGTCGTGCCGAAAACAAATATAATTTTGTGTGCTTGAGAATGAAATCTAAATATTGGCTCTTACATAAACGTGAAAACATATTCAAATGTTTTTTACTACCTTAGCATACCATTGAATGAAACAAAGTGAAGATGTCATTATTATCGTTGTCTTTGTTGCAGAACACTTTTTTATATTTTATTTTAAACGTGTAATTTGATTATAAATAAAAAAAACTGGATGGTATTGCCGTGTCATTACTAAAATATATATTTTTTTTTTAATTAAGATATATCTCTGTCCTTAAGTTTGTGTTTTTATACTCAACAACTTTTTTCTTAACGTGTCAGAAACTAGCATAATAAATATTAAACTTACTGCCTTTCATTGAGCACAGACGCAAAGCAAGGCACAAGTTTCGCCTTTGCAATTTCGCTGTACTATTATTTTAATTAATTTGTCTATCGTGATATACCGAAGGAAAAAAGAAAAAAAACAATTTTAGATGATTTAATGGTAATTTTTGGTGATACTGTAATTGTACGAATGAACGTTTAAATCAAGGATAGTTAATTGTTTCATATTGAACATTCTACTCTAGATTTAGAAAACTGTTCGAAAGCATAATCATGCATGATAAATTATTTAAAATTTCCAATCATAAAATTTTAGATTTGCAAATAAAGGTTGGTCACGAAATAATAAATAGGAATAAATATGCAATACAAAATAAATTTATACCCCATAATCAATAATTAAAATCAGTACCTAAAGCCGATAACCATCTCAAAAATTTAACAAATGTAAAAATGATAGACAAACAAGGAAATAAAAACGAGTTTTTTAATTACTAACGCTCACGAAAGAAGCGGTGAATGGCACGTAAAGAAGTGAACGACAAGTTATCTTACAATGGCCGGACTGAAATAGATTCGGTTTTATAACAATGACTGCGAATAAATATAGACTTATCAAGACATCTATGATAATTACGCTTTTATAACATTATCTAGTTATCTTTCTGCAGGGTTTGATACACTTTTATCCATCCTATTGAGTGCTTTTATTTTTGATGTTGCAAAAAGTTACGTATTTATTGTCATAAAAATAATATTCTTTTTTGTATATGTAGGTACATACATATATCTTTCAAAGATTCACAGTTTTAAAGATTAGTAATACCTTATACAGCGTGTCTTTACCATCGCGCGACATTAATGAACACACATATAGAGGATAACTTTTTAAAATTGTATTATAGATTTACATTCCTTCCTTACATAAAATTGTATTATACTTTAAACATCAATATTTACCAAGTTATCAAATTTTCCAAAACAAAGAATTTTCGAACACACGTATAAAACTTTAATGTAAAGTTCATTTGTAAAGGTCACAAAGCATATGAATGGGTTGAATGAATTTAAAAGTGACAAAACATGCTGTTAGAAGGAGAGGCTTGTAGTGCGGCGCTGTGGCAACGAATGAAAAAGTCTCTGAATGTATGAATAAGTCAGTTGTAGTTGTATAGGATGTTACAAATTTTGTTTCTTTTTTACTTAATTAGTTTGAAAAATGTTTTTTTTAATTATGGATTTTTTTAACGTTAATATTTTTTATGATTATTGGCAAGTAACGTTAAACGTGTGTTCATTTATTATCGCGGTGGTAAAGACACCCTGTTATATAATAGTAACTACGATTCCACTTGTAGTATGTTGAAGTTGTCTGTGGGTGGTGGTAATATGGTAAGATTTACCTGAGGTGTAACAATACCTCAGGTATATCTTACCATATTACCTAAAAACATACTTAAAATACGGAAAGATTATGCCGTGACAATATGTAATATATACATATGTTTAATATTTTAAATAGTTACGTATTTTTCTCAATGTTAACAAAAGTTGCACTTCAATTGTAATATTCGCAATTATACTAAAACTGTACATAAACATACTTTTTATTAATTGATGTAAACAACTTTTCGAAGATTTACATAATAATTACTAAAAAGATTACGAAATATCTCTAATGAAGAATTGACTGTTATAAAATAAAATAATTGAATCTATTGGCCTGAAATGTGTGTTTATTTCATAATATGTTAATTTGTGAATAACATTCATAAACCACTAGGACTTAGATTTATCGAACTTTCTCCGATGATGCAATTACTTTTGGAAATTGTACAACGAACGGATAAGAAAATGTGGTCATTTTATAATTTTAAAAAATAATTCAATTAATAAACTTTTATGGTGATCTTGATATTTCACTGCTGACGACCATTTACTTAATTTTAATATTGATCATTATCAGCAAAGTTAATCCTAAGTAAATATTTTACGTCAGTTCCTTAATTACTCCAAATCGTATCTATGTTAACGTTGCTACGCGGATCGTCAAAAACAATCACTTTATCTAGTACTATATCTATGACTATCAGCGTCCATTGCTTATAAGTTTCGCCGACTTGATTTTTCAGCTCCACTTTTTAAATTACAGAAATTTTTACATTGAATCGAAACAATCTGCTTTGATCTCGATTATACGCACTTTTAGCCGGATCGGAACAGCTATATCCGCTTCGAGCATATTGTTTTCATTACAGAATCAAATATTTCAAATGAGAAAGAGTTCTTTGTACCGGGGGCGCGTTCCGCGTAAACGTAAGAGGAAATTTTGTACCAACGCGTTCAGAGCGTTTAGATTACCAACAAAACAGAATACTGGGAAAGTGATATTTCTGTACGTAGTCAGAAGTGACGAGAGCTTACTACGCTTAAGTACGAGGCCGCGTCCGAACTGAACGGTCGCCGCGACGGCGGACGTCGCTTCAGTTTACCGTTAGCGATCGTACACATCGGACGGTTCTAGCTTCGCCGCGTTATTTAATATTTGCGTGCGAAATTTGACCGTCGACCAATCGGCGAACATACCTGAGACCAAAGACAATCTTCTTTTTTTTACTTTTTTTTTAATATCTCAATTCGTTTGGAAATGCGCGTGTGCTCGGAGAGACAGTGCGTCCGTTGTGCCCCCGCCCGCTGGCTCGGGCGACGCGCCGCCAGGATGGCGAACTCAATGGAATTGTTGCACTTGCAGTTCAAGCGGATGCTCAACAAGGAGCTGAGCCACTTCTCCGAGTCCAGCAAGTCCGGCAACCAGATCTCGGAGTACATCTGCTCCACATTCTTGGGTATGTATCGTTTCAAACCTTTTCTTAACTTCTTTAATGTTTTTTTTAAGATTAAGGAAGTTTTATGTATTTAATTATAGTGTAATGTTATATCTTTATGGACTCATGTGCTGCTACTACTACTAACTATAAACGTGAACTTTTTGACAATTATTGTATCTAATAGGGCTCACATAAACATGTTTCAAATATACTTATGATATAGATACATTAGTAATAATTTTTAAATTATTCATGTGATTCAACAAAACGTTATATAATAGTAAATTAACTGTTTATATTCATATTTTGAACGTAAAATGTGTTTGCTTTTACTTCCATTTTCAAAACTATCTTATTAAAGTTATTGATAATTATTCGCGGCAAATCAGTGTTAACCTTGCCACCTTAAATTTTATCTTTCACTCAAGCATGCCGCTGAAGAAGTAAACAAACATTACTAGTTATCAAAATACTGTAGTACTATAGAGACTTCGACTCTATCGAGAAGCTTGTGCTGAAACAATAAAAACATAGCGATAGCCAAGATACACGGTCGCACAGATTACGAAATTCGACTTGGAAGAAATTTCGCGTATCGTGTGTCAACAACACTTGCGTCCGTAACGATTACAATGAGCAAGTCATTAAGGCCATTGGCAAACGTCTCGGCCGAGATGGCCGCCCAATTAATTTGTTTGGCCCCAGCCGGTACGCACTAGACGAAAACCGACCGCGTCCTTACCACTTTGTTGTATTTTCACGACGACTGGTTACATAATGTATACGTATAAAAAATATCGCTTTAGTATATAACTACTACATTAGCCGTGATTTCTCATTGTCAGAGCGCTCGCTTTTAATTAAATATACTGGAGCAACCCGAGTTCGAACCCCGGTACTAGTACTAATGAAATTGTTAATTTAAAGTGGTGATTTATCACGTGCTCATAGGTGAAGGTAAACATCGTGAGGAAAATTACATATGTATTTTCGAAATAATAACAAAAAAATATTTCGAAGGTATGTGAAGTCCGCCAATCCACAGTGGGACCATGTGATGGATTGTGCCCCTAATACCTTCTTTATAGAGGAGGCCTTTGCCCAGCAGTGGGACATTGACAGGCTGTTACTTTACTTTTTTATAACTACTGTGATGCATTCTTCGCTTAAATATATAAAAGAGTTAAGAATTTTCTTTTAAACCGACATGTACATGTCATTGATAGCTTGTGTTTACATAGAACATTAATGAGAGGTGTGTCTGAAACGAACAATATTAAAACTTGTTAATACTGCTTATCAATGGTTTAACGCACGATTGAATAAATAAAGTACCTACGTAGTATCATGAATTAAGGAAATGTATTGGCTTGCGAAAGAATTTGCAACAAACTACGTTACTACGAAGTAAGAAACAATGGGGTGTGTCGAAAGTTTTGTTTACAACCATCATTCCTCACTATTTTTATTTAATACCAATAACAAGGCCAAGTTATGAATTGTTTACAGTTGAGATATATATCTCTTGGCTCCGGAACAATTGCTTCTAAAACTAAATCGAAAAACGTTTTCAAAGCGCGTCGGCTTTCATATCACTCGTGATTAGATATAAATGGGTCGCATGTTACTACCACATTAACCTGATAAGGGGTACTGTAATCCTTTCTATAATGCACGTGTATTTTTTTTCAACTCTTTGCACTCTTCGTATGTGGTTATCTGGTCAAAACAACAATATGCTATAGAAACATACGTACTGTGTATATGTTATTTTCTATGTTGTTCGATTTTATTATTCGTGTTCGGTGCTATGTGCGCCGTTTTAAATTCTTTGTAGAAAATCGTAAACAACTTGTGAAAAATACGCAGAACAATCGCGCAATAACCGCCGCTGCCAAGTACTCACAGTATGTTATCCCATAATGCCATTCTCTTAAAATATTAAAACTCACAATGTGCATGTGACGGTTTATCAAATTTGTGTACGTATCTATATAAAGCATCAAGTAATAATAATGTACAGGTACATTGACCCAGATTTATGTGAAGCAAAAATAGAAATAATCTACTAAAATTGCCTACTTTTTTCGGCACGCGTACCCATTGACACCATTTTTAAGTGCGATAAGACCCAGAAATTAATAAAAGTTTTAATTTGCTTCTCTGACCTACTACTAAAATAAATTACATCGATATAAATTTGCATATACTTACTTACTGTTTCCATAAGTTTTCGATTATTTGCATAGTTTTCTTATCTGTATTCCTTATTTCTTTCGCCTTGACTGATCTCAGAATGAAAATGTCAAAAAGTCTCACTTTAAAAGCAGACATATTTTACATGATATTTACTCTGGAACATGTGTTGTTGTGAAAGATAATAAATCGACATCTTAATTTAATTTAAATAATTTTTTTTTACAGATAAACAACAAGAGTTGGACCTACCATCGTTGCAAGTTGAAGAGAACACTGAGCGCACCAAGAAAAAGGAAAAACCCCGTCATGGCGGACCCAGTGGTACTATGTCACAAGTGAGTAATTTAATACATTTTATTATACTTCGTAAAGCCGATCACAATAAATAGCCAAGGTTGTTTTTAATAAATACAAACTTTTTCTATAGGAGGTAATAGAAAAGAGAACATTTATTTTTAACTTAATATTTTTTCTAGATATCCGGCGTCAAGAGGACACTAACCCACACTAACAGCTTCACCGGTGAACGTGTGCCAAGGTACGGCGTGGAGACCCCCCACGAGGAAGAGCTGGGTCGCCTGCTCGGTGAGCTGGACCGCTGGGGCGTAGACATCTTCCGCATCGGAGACCTGACTTGCGGTCGGCCCCTGACGGCGGTGGCTTACGCCGCGTTCACTTCGCGCGAGCTACTGACAACCCTGCAGATTCCGGCACGCACCTTCATAGCGTTCGCAGTCACGCTCGAAGAGCACTATGTGCGTGACAACCCTTTCCACAACTCGCTCCATGCGGCCGACGTGACACAGTCCACTAACGTACTCCTCAACACACCGGCTCTCGATGCCGTGTTCACGCCCATCGAGGTGTGCGCAGCGCTCTTCGCCGCCTGCGTCCATGACGTCGACCACCCCGGCCTCACCAACCAGTTCCTGGTCAACTCCAGCTCGGAGCTCGCGCTTATGTACAACGACGAGTCTGTCCTCGAGAACCACCACCTCGCCGTGGCGTTCAAGCTGCTGCAGAACGACGGCTGCGACATCTTCGTCAACCTGCACAAGAAGCAGAGGCAGACGCTGCGGAAGATGGTCATCGATATGGTGCTCTCCACTGACATGTCCAAACACATGAGCCTGCTCGCCGATCTCAAGACCATGGTCGAGACAAAGAAAGTCGCCGGCAGTGGAGTGTTGCTTCTCGACAACTACACGGACAGGATACAGGTGCTGGAGAATCTCGTGCACTGCGCTGACCTGAGCAACCCCACCAAGCCTTTGCCGCTGTACAAGCGATGGGTCGCGTTGCTCATGGAGGAGTTCTTCCAGCAGGGCGACCGCGAGAGGGAGCAGGGAATGGACATTAGTCCGATGTGCGATAGGCACAACTCGACCATAGAGAAGTCGCAGGTCGGTTTCATCGACTACATCGTTCACCCGCTGTGGGAAACTTGGGCCGATCTAGTACATCCGGACGCCCAGGACATTCTGGACACGCTGGAGGAGAACCGTGACTACTACCAAAGTATGATTCCGCCGTCGCCGCCGCCCGCGCCCTTGGGCACCGATGACGAGCGCCCCGAACAAATACGCTTCCAGGTACGTACATACAATCCATTACCATATTTTAAACTTTACTTATATTTCAATATTTTCTAATTATCCTCTCGATTTAGTGCACGATACATAAATAATGCAGCAAAAATTATTAAATAACTTTAGTTAATTTAGTAATGTTAAATCTCGATAAGTACGAGTAACGTATTGTGTTGAACATGAATTAGCTGTTAGGAAACTGCGATAAAAAACTCTTCTGCCATATTAAGATCTCAACATTGTTCACGGGGGAATCGAACTACATTCTACGGTAAATTCGACTCATCTTTAAAGTTTAGAATGGAGTATATAGTCGTACATACGAGGGTGTTGTTCTATTTAATTAAACAATGTATTTTGCGGAGGTTGTTTCTCTGTTATGTGTCAAATGTATTTTTTTTTATATTTCACAGGTCACTCTCGAGGAGGGGGAGGGCTCGGAGGAGTGTGAGGGGGAGGGCGATGGTGGGATGTGACGGAAGCTCCTGGGAATCTGCAAGAAACTCTCTGAGAAGATGCAGGTGTGGTGGAAGCTGTGGCAGTAGCAGCCCCGAGGCGGGCCCCGTTGGATTTAGCACTTGTTGACGCTTAACGTCGGAGTGTCTCTCCGGCCCAATTTGTATGTGATTATTGCGCAATGTTGTCTAGAGCTACCTAACGACTAAACACGTCCCTTCAATGACTGTGCAACGTTCGTTCGTCTTGTGTGTCCTGCACTGTGGTCTCGTCGATTTCCCCCCTAACCAAAGAGATGCTCGATGGTTTTGTTGACGCTCTATATCCCCGTGTGTAGTCGGTCTTCAATTCGTAATGTTATCGTGTAAGTAGTAGAATTAGACGCCGGCGCCGCGTGTACCGGCCCGGCAGAGTAAGGACATTGAAAACGCTTATTAATTGGTATGAAAGGGTAATTTATATTGTCATATCATCCACTTTCTCATATTTAATACGGGTTTGCGATAATGATGTTATTCACCGAAATATGTTAATGTAATAGTTATCCTAAATATAAAACTATTTTAAGGTTATTTCAAAGCAAAAAAACGCAAAAAAAAAATTACTTCGGAGTTGGTGTGTGTTTTCTCTGAATATCTAATATTCGACTAGTCCTTTGGCGAATGGACCCACGTAAATGAGCTCATCCTGTTTGTTAGCTTTACTTGATTTGGTACCTCATAGCACCTCATTTCTTACGAAGGATCGCTGGCGATCCATTTATTTTTCTCTTTATAGTAATGTATTATTTTTGTAAATTAATTATTTAATTGTAGTTTGTCGATTCACCCAAATAGTCAAGTTATAAGTATGTCTAAAGGAAGTCTTCGTGTATGCAACTAACGGCTTGAATTGTTTGATCTAAACTATTATTACTAACCATAGGCGTGGTTTGCAAGTAACTTTTCTACGGAGTGTATTCAGCGTTCGCAGTACTAATTATGAAAGATAACGGCAGCACACAGGCCGGGTTTTGCAATAGTACGATCTTAAGTAGTTAGTCCCAGAAACTGCGCACAATGCAACTATCTCTCTCTCTCTCTCGTTATCGATGTATTGTAATTAAGCTAATATCACAACTCGAAGTATACACTGCGAATTTGTCTAGCTTTCGGTCGCCTCATTGATGTCCCATATCTAAGTCCGCGTGTCGTCACGTATTAGTAACCATCAATAAACAGATAGCTGTTAGTTTATAGACATCCTAATTATCCAAAACCACCCTTTATTTACGCTCTTTCGTATTATTACTGACGACGAATCAGTATAACACATACTTAATTACCTGTATTATTGTGCATTTTTTAAGAACCGTCATGTTTTTTACTGTTTTGTTGTTTGTGAGCTGGTCTCTGTTTTATGTACTCAAAAGATATATGTCTATTATACAATTTATTTGATTCCTCCCATTTTTTTTCATTTTTGTTTTTCTGCTTTTTCCATTAAACAACACGAGTATTAGACACGAACAGTATTGCCTTTATTTGCCGCGCCCAATCATTCATCAATGTTAAGAATGAAGGTCCAATGTACATTATTTTCTTAGATAAATTAAGATTCAAAATGGCGATCAAACTTTTTAAATATGCATGTGTCACACCCCTTTCCCTCCCTTTTCGTATTCTTCAAAAATTATATATGCAATCCTAAATTTCACGCAGAGTAGGATTCGAAGTATACACTAAAATATAAAAAGCTTAACTATCATCTGGTGTAAAATTAGTAGTGTACATAACGCTTAGTAAAAATTGTTTACAGTTATACAGTTAAGATGTATATGTATGTTTTGTCGGATAATGACGTCTAAACCACAGTCAGTAGATCTGTGTGAAGTACCTATAACATAATAAATAACAATACGAGCACAACTAATGTTTGTAGTTTAAGAAAACGTTGGTAATTGAACAATATCCACAGTGTCCCGGATTTCTTCCAAATTCGTCAAGTTTAACTGTTTCACATTCATTAGATATTTGAGTAGTTTATTTTCAAAGTGAAAAACTATATTGCTGTATTACTAGATATCACTTATTGTTAGTTTTAATAAACGTCTGTTAGATGCAAATGTATACAGATGAATTTGGAAAAATTTTAATCACGTGACAGTAACCTATCCAAATCTAAAGATACTAATTTGTGTAACAAGATTATAAATATGTTCGATGTTTATTAAACTGTTCGTTGCAGTTACTAGAAATATGTATTAAATTAATTACAAATAACGTACAATATAATATCTAAACCGCATTATTGAATGTGATGTAACACGTAGCAGTCATATACTCATTTTGTGTTTTGTTATAATTTTAATCTGTGCATCACACTCGATTTCTACCAAAGAGCAAAGTTCAAAGGTTTATGTGATATTGGTTTTGAATGGCTATATGTACATACATCAGGCATGTATCATACTTTAACTTGCATTCTGTAGTTTCTCCCAAAAGCTTGTACGCTGATCATTTCATTAATGTGGAGAACTATTGCTACTATTGGATAATACTTAGATAAATTATTATAAATACCGAGTTGAAAGTGTGCAATGCTGGTCATTTGCATTACTTTTTTATTTATGTTTAAAAATAAAATAGCTTGTAATAGTTTAAAGGAATATTTGAGTTGAATTAAAGAATATTAATGTATTTAGAATAAAAAGATATTGGAGAAAACGTGAAGCTGTTTTATTAAGTTTTTGACCTCCTTAATATTAATGTCGATTTGGTTGTGAATGTCATAGCGTCAAGGTTAGCTCGTTCCAATGGATAATGTTTACAGCACAGTAAAGACGCACATCCCGGATTACATATGATTAATACAAAATTGTTTATTTCAATAATCGCCGAAATATTTGACTTTGACAAGAGTATTATTTAGTTTAATAAAAAAATGTTATTATTAGAAAGACAAAAAGCGCGCTTGCGAAAACAGAAGTATGTATGTGCGTATATACGCATGTAGGAAGTTAGTTACTTAGTTATAAAGTTACTTCTTTAGACTTAAAACGTTAATTGCAATTGATAACGATGATTTGATTTAAATATTAATAATAACTTAATGAATGAATTAACAGTAGACGTCAAAAAGTTGGTATTGGTTGCAAAGATTACTAAGCATCATGTCGGTTTTTAAAGGTCTAAGGCGGTGTCCGCGCGTATAAAAATACTCTCAACATTTTATGCAACGCGCCAAAAGAAATCAACTTCAAAAACAAGTAGTAGATATGTTTGGAAAGTAATACAGAACAACTACACAATTTAAATAGTTTAATGATCGATAGACAATTAACAAGTCAATTTTTTATGCAGCAAAGGCTTAACGGAACATTTTTGACACAGGTACCAACTCTCCATAGAAAAGAATATGAGCGCCACAGATTTAGTGAATAATATCTAGGTACTATTTTATTTTAAAAAAAACGCGACCCACAACGGTCAATTTTCATATCCATACATAAATACCTCTCATAATTAAGACTTTCCGACGATAAAATCAAATTCGTTCTATGTGACCACAGAACGTTATGCACGGTGCGATTTATACAAACACTGGGGTGTTATAATGTTTTTTACAAAACCGTCACCCGTCCCTTTGCCATGTGAGTAACATGAAGATAAAGTTCCGCCTCTGTACACAAATCATTTTTGAAATAGAATTTAATAATACTAAATCTATTTTAAAAGTGTTGTTCTCCGTCAGTAATATTAATATATCTTTTTGGACTTATGTTTTGATTTGAAGATATTGATGCTAAAGATTTCGAAAGGTAGATATAAAAATTATCTGTCGTGATTTAAATTGTCCCATAGCATTACAATTCCTCCATAAATTAAGCATTGCTCTTATCCTTATTTGCAATAATACATTGATGTCAAATTTTAAAATGTTGAGTAAAAGTGAAGATTATAAAATTGATTTTTTTTAATAAACATTAATTGAAACATAATAACGTCGTTTTATTGTAAATTTAAGTACATCTAAGTAAGACCAAATCATTTATTAAACTCAATTAGGTAAAAAAATATTCTGTTGGATGTTTTTGTTAACTGGCAGAAAGCGCGATCCGGGCACCGGCGCTACCCTTCGACACTGTAGATGGCCTAGCTCCTCAAGGACTTCTCGGCCCATTATGAAACTTGGCAAGGACTATCTATACACTATTAACTAGTTTTAGTAAAAAAATTAAAGTGGTCCAACTTTGTGAAATTCAAGTTTAAAAAATTTGAACATGATTTTTTTCCAAAAAAAAAATTTTTAATATCCAAAAACTCAATAAAAAAGCTCATTAAATTAAGCATACACTTGACTACTTCATTTATTTCCATTTATCTTTTCAATACCGGATAATGGGAATCGAAGTGGCGCACGGTTAGTCACATTTTTAAAGCTCTCTAAATCGTAAACTACATTTTATACTGTAAAAATATTTTGTATCTGGATTGAGGACATATATAGGAATATCATTATCAAATATTACTAAAATCGGAAACATCAACTTTTTATACCTGTCCGCTTTGCGTGGAATGCCCCATATGTTAAAGCAGACACTGGAAAAACATTATGTTCATCACACAATCCACAAAGGATCAAACCCACACCCTATGGCGCAAGAGGCAGGTTCACTACCCTCTGCGCCAATCGGGTCGTGTATTAGTCGTCTATTATGAGCAAATAGCGACCCGCCCAGGCTTCGCACCGGTGCAATGTATTATGCATATAAACCTTCTTCTTGAATCACTCTATCTTGTAAAAAAAACTTCGGTTGCGTAGTTTTACAGATCTAAGCATATATAGGGACAGACACAGTGGGAAGACTTTGTTTTATACTATGTAGTGATATGTTTCCAAAAGATGGCAGCTCCATAACATTTATGATAATATTATTTGATTTTTATAAATGTCTTAATCACAAGAAAGAAGTAGACACCAATATCTAACAACTTCATTGCAAGAAGTTTGCGGTGACCACCCACGGACAGAGTAGAACAGGTAAGCTAGTGCACAACTTTGCGACCTCTGTACACAAGAGTTCGATAATCGACTAGCTAGGATGCGGAATCACGACGTTATTATTGGTCACGACGTCTAGGACTGCAATCGATAGTGAAACCCATAGATAAAATACTAATATATGCTGTGAAACCTTTCCAAAGGAAGTAAAGTGAAACTTTACGTGCTATGGAAAGTACTTCCAAAGGAAAATTAATGCACGAGAGTACCCAAAAAGTACAATAAATAAAAGCGGCCTCTAAGGCAGAATTCTGTATGGCTGCCACGGAATCTCTACTTACTAGTTCGGCCTAAAACTAAACTAAACTCGAAAAGTTGGCAACACTTTGTCATCGACCTGAACTAGCTAGTGTGCGTCAAGTATCTAGCTTGGTTTCATTTTTAGATAATGTCCTTTTATCCCTGTTTTCAGGGAATGAAAAATATCATTCGAATATGACAGTAAATTTCGCCGCAAAAAGAAATGTTATAATAGCTCGGTCGGTAATCGGGCGGCCCCAAAACAGACGGCCGCGGTTCGTATCACGATCATTATTTTACATTACACACTTATTTTTTTTCTATACCAGATCATTTTCTTTATTTTTTATTTTGTTTATTTCCAAAATACATAATTTACCAAAAAAAAAAACGAGCAAAGCTCGGTCCTCCAGGTACTTATTATTATATAAGTCCTGCGAAAACCTATTATGTCCTACGCGTGCATAACCTACGCCCACATAAACCCTACTCGCTTGTACAAGTTGCAAATAGTATAAAATAAGGTTGGTGCGTAGTGGTATTAGCGCAACGTCGACCTGCACAGTGACTGCAAACTCCCGACAATTCGGGAACATTTTAAAGATCTCACCAAACGGTTCTTTGACAGAGCCGAACATCACAGAACCCTTTGGTGGTAAACGCAGCAAATTACCAACCCGACATTAACGCGTACGTCAACAAGCGTCGCCCGCGCAATGTTCTCATCGACGCTGTCGAGGAAGGGCCCACCGTCGGGGGTCCCTCCAAATAACACTACACACTCATTCAGTGCATCAACAAACACCATAGATCGTCCTCGCCTTCGAGCACGGCGAAACCAACACAAAGCGTACATTTGGTATACGCGCGTTCCAGGGCTGTTATCACCGCCCCCAGACACCGACTAAACAAGCGCAGTCAAAGGCCATCGGGGTCACGGTCTTCACCGAACCTCGATGGGCGGTGGGCGACATGTCACAACTAACGTACACAGCATGAGTACATGTGCATAGCGCAACACAGCGACGCTAACCACTGAGGAAAGGAGGCCTGAAACCCGTGGGTTCTGGCTAGCCCACCGATTCTGCGTTCAATGTAGCTTTAATAGTCTAAGGACTGAAAGCGTAACATCAGTTATACAAAAAACACAAAAAAACTAGCTAGTGTCCGCAAAGGCAAGCGAGCGATCGGCGCCGCAGTTGAAACAGCACACGGAAGCGATAAGCAACAAATAAAGTTGCGCGCGATAGGTGGGATAAACGGCATGGAGCGTCCGACTAAGTTAGGTTTGCACGGAACGGAAAACGGGTCGCAGACGGAGCGGGCAGCGTCGTCGTAACATCGTCGTGCATCTGCTTCCTTGTTATCTGCCGAGTCTGGGTCGTCCTGGCTGGATCTCTTTCAACGAAGGTGTCAAATCCGCTGAGCAAACAGTAAACTATAAAAAAATGCAAGCCTGCCAAGTCGTGGAGGATTGGGAGAGCGGCCAAACGCAATACCAGCACGCCTCCTCCTCCGTAATTCCTCCTTGATAGCAAAAGACAGAGAGACTGGCGCCTCCTCTAGCATCCTCAACCTGTCCCCTGCACCCTCCAGCACGCATCCAGAGTGGGTGTCAATGGGCCCACTCCAGTGCGCCGAATTGAGTCACCAACTCTAGTGCAAATGGGCTAGGTAAATCATTTCACTCGAGTACAAGTAAGAAATATTCACTCGGGTCACTTGTAAAAAACTCGGCTCGAGTCGTATCCTTAGAACTTTTATTTTTTTATTAATTTGGCATCGCGCGGTATCATTAAAACTAAAATTTTTTATTAATAATTTTACGAGTTACGCTATCTGTGCTATGGCTGGTGACAGGTGTAGTAGGGATGGGCAAGTAAAAAAAATATATCGATAATTATCGAGTGCAAAATATCGATATATCATCAGTTTTCGCATGATTATTATGACATATTTACAAACGATTCAATATTCGTAAAAAAATTATAGACGTGAAGAAAATAGTTGATAAAAATTTGTTTTTTTAAGTTAACGATGCGCGAGGAGCATGTAAAATGTATCTAGTAACATTAAACACGAAACCAGAGTTGCATTAAAAAATATATCGAAATTGACCTCGTTTCAATTTCGACTCTTATGGTGTATTTCAGTCAGGGTCGTGGCAGCCCAGTTTTCGATACCGGACGTTAATCTTGTAAATTAAAAAATTTGACCATCTTGTAAATATTAGAGAAATAAATATTATTACATTAATTAAGATGGATATTATCTAGGTTTGTCTAAAATAAATATCGAATATCGATATATCGCGATAAAAAATATCGACGATATATATCGATAATTGTATGGAAAAATATCGATGTTTTTATATATCAATATTGTTTTTGCCCTTGCCTAGCTTGTAGACTCCAAACACGGTGTATCAATAATTTTATAATTTGCTTAATTTTATAAATATAACGGTACCCTTTTGTGTTACATGCTAGTTTTTCACCAAGTCGAAAATGGTAAAATTAACAACCGAACTTATACAAAATTCTATGCAGTACATGAATCCATGTCGAGACCGCGAATTAGACCTTAGAGGTTAGTAATTCCTCTTTTTTAGTATATTTTACATTAAATATTATCATGATTATTAGTTACATTCATTAATAAACATAAACTCTAAGTGAAAAATATGTTGAATATAAGAAATTGTTGTTATATGATAAATAATTTAAATACTTTATTTTCAGGTTATAAAATTCCACAAATTGAAAATTTGGGCGCTACTCTGGATCAGTTCGATACCATCGATTTTTCTGATAATGATATACGAAAGCTTGATGGTTTTCCTTTATTAAAAAGATTAAAATGTTTGTTTTTCAATAATAACAGAATTGTGTAAGTTATAATGATTTAAAGTTTACTATTCATTGCAATAACAATCTGACAATTATTTTATTTAACAATATTTTTGGGAACTTGTTTTTTTTTTCTAATGTTGATCTATTATTGAAATAATTTATTTCACATACAGGAGGATCAGTGAAAACATGGAACAATATTTACCAAATCTGGAGTCATTAATTTTAACTAATAATAATATTAGTGAGCTTGGAGATATAGATCCATTGACAACACTACCTAAACTGAAAACTTTATCATTGATGCACAATCCAGTTGCTAACAAACAACATTACAGGTAATAAGAAATACTATAACATGAAGAATTGGTAAAAGAACAAAAATAATAGAGATGAGATTGAAATTTGACTTTGAAAAAGGTTTTTCAATGGAGGTTTTTTGATAAAGTAAGAATACAATATATGTATATCAAACATAGGGTTGAAAGTAAAAAAAATTAAACTTAATTCAATATTTGGTTTGCCACCATTCACAGTCAGATGATCACCATTAACCAAATAGAATCTAAATTGCTGTCTAATTTAGTAGCTATTCACTTATTGTAGTTAAATCTTAACAAAAACCATGTTAAAAAAGTTATTTTGTATTTAATTATATTTCTAAATAGACTATTCATTTGATGTGATGTATAAAAGTAAAAATTAGAGTGCAATTAAATATTAATTTTACTATAATTTTTTTATAAACTTCCCTGTTCAGGAAAAATAATACTTTCTCACAGTTCTTTTCCTTTTTGTAAGGATCCCATCGTCATAAAATCTAAAAATTCTCTCTGCATGTTTTGTGAGTTTTTTCCAGTTTAATTTGACTTTAATTTCAATGTTATTTAATGGCTACTCGATTTTTGTTTGCTGTTTTCAGAGTTTATGTAGCATTTAAATTTCCCGAACTAAGATTGCTAGATTTCAGAAAAATCAAGCAAAAGGAGAGAGATGAGGCAAATACCTTATTCAAGAGTAAAAAAGGGAAAGAAATACAAAAAGAAATTTCCAGGAAAGCAAAAACATTTGTACCTGGAGGCAATATGCCTGATCCTAAAGTTACAAGTTTGTATTGAAATTTTCATAGAATTTACTTTTAAATAATCTCTTAGTCTTTTTATTAGTTAAATAATAATAGTATGATATAAATATATTATACAATCACTTGAGAAAATTCCAATTCATTATTGTGTTTTTTCCATTATTATATTAATTAAGCATATATCAATTTTCAAAATGCTTACACTCCTTTTTCTAGATCTCAACCCTCAAGAAATTCATAAAATCAGAGAAGCTATTAAAAATGCTTCTTCCTTGCAAGAGGTTGAAAGGCTTACAAGAATGTTGCAGTCAGGACAAATCCCAGGACAAAAACCATTACAGCCACCCAGTCAAGCCAATGGCCAACGTAAGATTTATTATTTGTTAATTGTTTTTCTACATTAATATTACAATAAGATAAACTGTCTTAAATGTTAAGTAATGGAAAAACTATACACAACAATGGATGACCACTGTATTAATTCCAAAAATGTTTCAATCCCTGAGTAACATTGGTGAACTTTAATAAAATGTGACTTTAGTAATTAAATTATCGCAATATTTGTATACAAAATATTGGAAAAACCATGTTCCACCATGTTTACTGTAATACTTAATTTTATAATTGCATAAGCTCTCAGTATGTATTTTCTCTATTTCACATAATTTGGTTACCAACACATGCAAGCGTTCAGATATTTCAGATATCCATGGGCATCAATTAGTATCAGGTGCTGCACGTTTTCTCCTAACTTTACTTTTCTTACTTAAATTTTCAAATAAATAAAAATTAACATCGCTTGTATACCTGCGCCACTGTGACGCCTGTGTATGCAATCTAAATATCTAGTATTTTTGTGACGACTACATAACTTTATAAAATTCTTTGCTAATACTTCAAAAATTTCGTATTATATAATCTTTTAAAAAAATACTAATAATGAATAAACAGTTTTTAAGTTATTAGCTTAAATATTGCTTTGTTAATGAAATGTGGTACCTGAATGACGGTCTGTTTTTTTTTTCTCACAAAAGAAGGAAAAAAAATAATAAATTATAAAAAAAATCATCTGGACTCGAACCAGGATCTCGTGTTTTGGAACTGCACGATTTCCCATCTGAGCTATTAAAACCTTGTGGTAGCGAAATTTATCTTCATATTCTAATGATATTGTAGCAGTTTTTCATTGCATGAAAACATGAATAAAACGAAATTTTCTAAAAATGAAACTCTTAACTTGACCAATTTTTCTTTATATATGTTAGAGCCGTTTCCGAGATTCAGATTATATATATACAAGAATTGCTTATTTAAAGGTATATATTAGTTAGATAGATATTTAATATGTTTATTAATATCCAAAGCATTATTTCAGAAGATCAAGATGAGGAGATGGAAACAGATGGAGGAAATAATTGAAGAAACACTACTTACATTATAAACCAAAACAGATTTTTCCAGGAACAGATACTACACTATTGGGTCTTTTAAGACTAAAATTTTAAATTGGAAAACAGTTATTATAATAGGAAGATACCTTATTTTTCTTTTCACAAGCTTTTGTTTAACTGTAAGAACAGATAATACACAAATAATACCCAGTCTTTCATTAAGTATTTTGTTGTCAAGAACAGGTATTAAAATTTCAGCATATTTTGCTACAAAGACAGATACTACCAGCTATAAATTAATATAATATTGTCTTCATTATTTAAGCTCTAGTAACACATAAAAATGGACAAATGCAAATATTACAAAATGTATTAATAGTTTATTTGGGGAATATAAAAACACTCCAGTATTGATTCAGGATTACACTGTCTAAATTGCAACAGAATAATGAAGTGTGATCTACATAAATGAAATTTGGCATTCCTTTAAACCAATTTATCACTACATAGTATAAAACAAAGTCATCCCGCAAGAGGAAGGTTTATAAGTGTTGTATTGAAACACCATTAACATGTTAATTCCATTTTTTCTCTGTTAATAAGCTAATCAAAATTTCTTTTAAAATGAACATATTCATGGGCACCTAATAACATTAGATCATTGTCTGTGAAAAATTATTTGAAACAATGAGAATTTATTTAAACCATTTACTTAATAGGTATGTGTAATCTTTTGCTGTAAATCAAGGTACTGTGTGAAGCACACAACTTCCAGTTTTAATTTTGCAGAATTCCTGTACCTATCTCTCTTATTGCATATATATTCTGTTATATTCATTTATTATCAAAGTTATAATGGAATAACATCCCTTACATATGGATAGAACATACAAAAGTTTTGTTTGTTTAAATTTTGAAGACAATATCATTTCAAAATCTAACGTTATTTTTACAAAATTACCAGTCAAGAAATTTCGAATAAAAGTCTGAATCATCAATATAATTCGTTTTATTATTATCTTAAGCAAATCATTAAAAACATAGTCAAAACCACAATAAGTCATCTACATAAATTCAAATATCTTACTGGCTTTCAAATATAACAGTTCATCGTTCCCCGCATCTAAATACACGGTATAGATTGTGGGGAGTAGAATGGCACGTCCCATCAGCTCCTTTATCACAGGTCGTTTCTCCGGCACAATCGATAGCATAGAGTCTATGAGGTCTTGGAGACCCCTGTCATACACAGTCATGTCAATAGGATGCACGCTGCCACTAGTTATGACTTTCACTAATCCAACGAGTGTCTATAATTGTAATAGAATGATTTGAAGTATTTAAGAACCTTGGCTTTTTATAGTATCACTGAATCAATTAATTTAGGTTTTTATGTCAGGTAATTTTTTTATTTTATTTATTTTAATGATTTTTATCTGCATGAAACAAGAAACAAATCTCAAGATTGAATTAATTTGTTCATGATAAATAGTCAAAAGCTTTTGGCGCTGTGAGATTGAAGACGCAGCTTCGAATCCCACAGTGGCGAAGTTTTTTTTATCATTTATCTACAAAAATTCACATTTCAGGTAATTAATTATATTTCGGTATTTTTATCGTTTTATTAAAAATATTAAGTAACAGCCGATATATTATGTCCCACTACTTAGCAAAGATTTCCACTGTACAACAAAGGGTATTAGATTAGGGCATAGTCAACCACGTGACCCAACTGCGAATTGGTAGACTTCACATATCGTCGATCTTTTTTTATGTTATTGTTTAGAAAACGTGCAAGTTTCTTCACGATGTTTTCCCTCATCACGTGATAAGACAGAACTTAAAATTTTGATAATAATTTCATTGGTGCCGGCACTAAAAATTGAACTCGGGTTGCTCGAGTAGATTGAGTCAAAGCGCCCGGACACTTAGCTATCACGGCATTCCATCTACTGGTATACAAATTGGAAAGAGCTATAGTCAATTATATTTTCCATTTTTGTAAAGTTTACAAACCTCGGAATCAAATGCTCGCTTATGAGTGCACATTTCATATAATAAACAACCCAGAGCCCACACATCGCTTTTAGTGTCGTAAGGTTTTCCCTCGCAAAGCTCAGGCGCGAGATAATAAGGAGTACCAATTACCGTTGATGTTTTCTTCGCGCTGTAAAAGACAAACTTCTACAATAATCGATGCATTAGTTATTATAAAGCAAATTAAAATCAAGTTGCTCTATGCAAACTCCATAGGATCTTCGCCACGCCTGTTAATTCTCTAAAGACTGTAGTAATCTTTAGAGAAGACCATGTTCAGCAGTAGACTTTTAAAAACCTAAATAATGACGATCATTAAGCAATCATAATTACGGTGGTAGGGCCATGCAACACGTCCGGGTAAGTACCACGACCTCACCGATGACCGGCGTTAAATAGAAGTGTTACACTTGTGCGTTTCGTTTGGTGAGTGAGGTAGCCGGAGCCCACTTTATTTAAAGGTAGCAACGCATTTGCAAGCCTACGGGTGTTGCAAATGTCTATGGGCGGCGGTTATCACTTAACACCAGGTGAAACGCCAGCTCGTTTGCTTCTTTCTCACTTAAAAAAAAATATCATTAAAGGTCAAGGTAAAATTAAAACAATTTTTAACATTATTTCTAAAACTAAAACGATTTTTATATTATTTACTAAAAAGCTTTACTACTTTCTTAATTTTTCTGAATATTAGTAAGTATATTGTAAAATCCATCTTATAGTCACTAAACTAAAAATTAGTTATAAGGATTCTAATTTTGTCCCTAATATTTACAATATTAACGACCATTTGAAATAATAAAACGGGTTTTGTTTTAAACGTCGATAACGTCGCGAGAATAGAAATTGTATGAACCTAACCTGGCCAACATCTTTGAAATACCAAAATCTCCAATTTTTACTATTGTACCGTGTTTTCCCGTTAACAGTATATTTTCTGCTTTTAAATCTCTGTGAATAATATTCAGTTGGTGTATATAGTGCACCCCTAGTAGGACTTGACTAAAATAGAACAAGATTTCCTGTAAATTAAAATAATTTAAACTAACTTCCAAAAGGACAAAAAGTTATGAATATACTTAGTTAAAATGTGCAAAATTCATTTTATTTGAAAAAATAACTACAAAAACTTGACCGGTGCTCTAAATCGTTCCGTACAAGCATAAATAATTATAATATAATTAGAAATTAACAATTATCTTTTTGTTCTTTTTACTACACTGTGAAATTAATATTATTTAGTATTCAGCTTCTGATATGTTCTGATGCAAATACCTATGAAATAGGTACTTACAGCGTCTTTTAGAGATTAACATAAATGCCTTAAGTGGTGTTTTATTGTTACGGAACCGTAGATCTTAAAATTTAACAGAAATTTCAATGTGGTACCCCAACCAATACTTGACTAAAAAGTGTCAATAGACGCGACAATAAAATGATCCTAAGAATTGATATTCGAACAGAATTCGGAATACCGATTGAGGAATGAAAAACCTCAAATGAGAAAATATGGATTAGATTTGTCTTTAATGAAATATTAATTGTTAAATTTCAATTTTACCGCCTGTTTAATTAATTTTGGGCATCGTTCGTACATATATTCCGCTAAATTTCCCCTGGTTGCGTATTCCATGCAAATCATTATATTTCTTTCTTGATAATAACAATCAAAAAATTTTATAATATTCGGGTGATTCATTGTTGATAATATTTTAACTTCATTCGCAATTTCCTAAAATTAAATAATTAATTTATATGAAAAAATACATTTAATTCATATTTTTAATTGGCAGATTATAATTAAGCAAAACATTTTACCTGATTATGATTTTGAATTTTCATATTAAGTTCTATATCTTTCACTATTGTAAATGACTTTTTTGTATCTCTTTTTTCACATAAGTATACATTTCTAGAAAATAGACATAATTTATTATTTATTTCCCTATCCTCGCCCTTAACAACAGTGCTAGATAAAGCAAGCGTGGGGCCCGTAGCGAATTCTTTCAAAGAGCCCTTGATATGGGTTCTTAAGTATAAAGTGGTAAAAACGGAATTCAAAAATCAAGGTTACAATTTTGTGGGGAATTAATAGTCTAGTAGATTACTAATAGGCTCTGCTAAGCTTTGACAAGTACAAACAGCCAGAGCTGGATTGCCTGGCGTTTTCGATTAATTTTGACAAGACAATTGAAAACTAATGATACTACACAAATAATTTTTCAATACACATTTGAAGTAAAATCAATATACCACATCTTAATAAGTTTTATTCAAAAAATTACTCTCAGGCCGAGATGAGTGGATTATATATGCGGGGCCCGTAGCAATTGCTACTCTTGCTACGAGGTTACTCCAGCACTGCTTAATAAATACTTGCATGCAGTATATACATACCCGTATGTGCCTTTTCCTATTGTCCTTATTATCCTTAATTTATAAAGATTGAATCTTTCTTTAACATCCATATTTCAAAGGTTATTTGTTTTATTTGGTACAAGTAATTGTCATTACCCTATATATTTTAGAATGTACCCGCAATGAACTTTGATGAACGTTTACGTGAATCACTCTATAGTTCAAAAACAGCATCAAGATCCGTTGCGTAGTTTTAAAGATCTGAGCATTCAAAGGGACAGACAACGGGACGACTTTGTTTTATATTAGCTGCTCCCCGCGAATATGTCTGCGTAGAATAGGCTGAAGGTGTAACATTTATTTATACTTTATGCACAAATTGTACATAGGCGGACTTAATACCACAGGCATTATCTCCCAGTCAACCTTGGGTGGTACAGAAAAGATTCGGTAGGTGCACAGAAAAATGTCAAAAAAATAAATAAAAAGAAAACGCTGTTAAAAGATAAACTATTTTATAAATAAATGTATATGCACGTGTTAATTATAGTACAAATATAATAAATACTACCAGGTGTATGTAATACATACTAATACATACATATATAACTAAATATATACAAACAATCATATATACATATATATAAATAAATTCTGACAATTAACGATGGAGACGAATGCATGAAGTCAGAACGCTGAAGAGGACATACGAGAAGACGATTATGCGGGGAGCGAAGGATTTTGTTAGGCTGAAGTTGAGCACGGTAAGTAGATACATGGTCATACTTGCGAAGGTTGAAAACGAATCGAATGCAGTTATTCAGAAGTCGGTCGAACCATAGTCGATTAAAGGGAAAATTAAGGCCTGCACGAGCAATTCCTTCGTTTTAGCCGGCATGAAATTTTTGAGCCGGTATAGTCACCGTAGGCCCATGAGACTTTTTGACAGACACTTCCTACCTGAGCATTCCAGCTGAGTGTCATGTCAATGTGCAAGCCGAGATTATTCACATTACGCCTGATAGGTATACGAAAACTGTTGAAAGTTATATGCGGGAGATTACTCAGGTCCACTTTACCTATGGTACGGGAGCTCCCAACTACGGTGGCTTGACACTTGGTTGGATTGACGGTTAAACCAAACCTGTCTGACCACTTTTTAATACAGCTAAGTTTATAGTATTAATTATTTCTGGGAGCCTATCAGTGGTGGCCTGAGCGTACAGCTGCAGATCATCGGCATAAAGATGATATGCACATTGAAGTTCGAGAGAGATAATATTAATAAAAATATAAAATAAAATCGGAGAGAGAATACCGCCTTGAGGAACACCACTGGCAACATTGAGCCACTTAGATGACAATTCATCAATAGTGACTGCCTGCTGGCGCCCTCGAAGATATGATGAAAACCATTCCAGTGCTTCGTCGGAAACCATTAAATAGGACAGGATTGCTAATAGGATGTCGTGACTGACGGCATTAAAGGCATTCGAAAAATCTATTAAAACCATGACAGTAACTTCGGTATTTTCCTTAACGGTGGTAGGGCCACGCAGCAGCCTCGGCTGTTGCACGAATGGGCAGGCCCGTCCGGGTAAGTACCACGACCTCACAGAAGACCAGCGTAAAGTGGAAGTACCACAAATACTTTCGCGTTTCGTCTGGTGAGTTAGGTAGCCGGAGCCCAATTTTCAAAAGGTTGTCAGCGCATCTAACCCTCGGGTATAGCAGATGTCCATGGGCTGCGGTATTCACTTAACATCAGGTAAACCGTCTGCTCGTTTGGCAACTTTTCACATAAAAAAAATAAAATTCCATACCTGTCCTAATATCGCCAGTCAGTTTAAGGAGGGCGGTGGTACTGTGGCCAGGTCTTAATCCAAATTGTAAAGGACTTATCAATTTGTTTCTAAGAACAAAGAGAGAAAATTGCTTGAGATCGCAGGACTCAAGCTCAACCTTAGAAAGGAAGGGTAGTATAGAGATAGGTCGATAATGAACGAGAAGTGAAGGATTAGGGCATTTCGGCAGTGGACGCACAAGAGCGTTACACCACAAGGAAGGGAAGGGTTCAGTATCCAATGAAAAATTCATGATATGATTAATCGCATGGAGAAGCTGATCAAGGATAGGGACTATCACGCGTCGGCCGATTTTATCGCACCCAAGAGTATTAGATTTAATAGCAAGGATAGATTTTTGATTTCTTTGGAAGAAATTGGAGAAAAATAAAACGAACCAATACCAGGAGACGTCAAACCATTTATATAGGAAATCGTTTTACTAATCGTCAAATGATCTGTCGATGAAGTGGTAGAGAAATCTTGATTTAAATCATCTAATTTGATTGTGGTAGGAAGGTTTGGAATACGTGACTTACCGATTACAAGAGTCCCAAGGAACTTCCAGATATCGGCAGGAGTAGATGAAGAAATATTATTGAAGATGTGACGGCGTTTAGCGTTGGGTACCATCTGATTACACCGGTTTCTGGCTAACTTGTAAAGGACCAATTCTCTTTAGTTTAAAGTTTTTTTTTTCTCTAAAGTTTTTTTTTTTTAATTTACGAAAGGCTCGATCCCTGCGTCTCATAGCCATCCGTATACCCTCCGTTTTCCAAGGTGCAGGAGTGTGCCTTAATTTAATTTTCTTATGAGGGACGTGAACATCATACAAATTTGTTATTGACGAGTTAAGAATGTGTACCTTACTATCTATTGTGTTGGCCCCCACCAAAGGTTCCCAATCTATTTTATCCGCATCCTTGCAAAGTTTCTCAGTGTTCATTCTCGCGAAGGAACGCACGTGCAGAACCTTAGGTTTAGGTTTAGGAGGCTTTAGGATGTAAGACAGAAAAATTAAGTCATGGTGGGAAAACCCAATCGCTGGATATTGTCCATGAGAGGATTAGGCAAGCCAAGTGTCTTCACCGGAGACATTATGGTTGGGTAGCTTGGAGAGGTAAAATATGAAAACAACTATGTGAAGGAGTTTAAGGGTACGAGGTGAATTAGGTGCCAGGAGATTGGTATTAAAATCTCCCATGATGACGTGCTGAGCATATTCAGAACCCAAAGATTCAAGAACCAATTCAAAGTCGGTGAAATAATCTATAGTTTGGGGACAGCAAACAACAGCTATAACAATCTTAGCACTCTTAATCGTTATCTCCAGAAAAAGAAACTCGGCAGAAGCGGTGTAGTTCTGGGATGAGGAGGCCAGTACCTTATACGAGAGGCTACCTCTCAGGTATATGAAAACGCCCCCTTCCCTTTACCTATACATTCAGACAGAAAGACAGATTACAAAAAATATGTATGTAAATTATAGCCTATGTGTTATTCTGATGAATGTTATTCTGAGCTGTATTATTGTAAAGTTTCTTTAAAATCCATTCAGTAGTATTTGCGTGAAAGAGTAACAAACATCCATCCATACATACAAACTTTCGTGTTTATAATATTAGTAAGGATGTAGTGATTTGTCGCCGTAATGAAGGAACATAGTCAAAAATCTTTTTATTGAAGTCAAAGTTATCTCTTGTTAATAAACAAAAGACTTAATTGAGTGCATTAATTACGCATTATCTTATTCTCCTTCTTGTAAAAATGACTATAGTTTGTATAAACTTTCTCAAACCTAAATCAAAGAAACAGAAAGTTGAAAACTTAGACAGGCATGTTTAAACTTCTAGGGTTACTAACATTATTTTTGCCCGTCTTATGGTCACAAAAGTTTTTTGGCAAATGTACGGCCTATACTTAAGATAAACAGGCATGCAACAAATAAGTACCAGTACTGATTTATTACATAGGTAATTGAATACCGTTTCTTCGTCTTTAGAGGCAATTTACTCTTATTTTAAGGCAATTATATCAAAGACTAATTATTTCACAAGATAACCCTGATGAGTTGCGAATTTCAAAATTGACAACCTAAATCTCAATTTTTCCCATTGATAGATACCTACGTATGATTCGTGATGATTTTTTCATTCGAAGCTGTATAATTATCACAATTTAGAAAGAATAGTTAAAAGAAAGGGAAATAGATAATATAGCATATAGTATATAATATATTGGGACTATATACTGAACGGAGACCTTTTTGATTCTTTCTTCTCTAATCAAACCCTATAAGGTTTTTGCCATTTTGCTTATAATGGTTATAATTTTGTAGGTGGATTCTCCGTGGTCCTCCAATGACCATTCTCTGTTTTATCATTTAGATAGCATGGACAACTTGGCCATTGATCCATTCGGGCCCCTATTACGTATTGTCGAATCGTACGGCTGCGCGAGAATTAATTTGTTTAATTCGTCGTTGGGATCGTGTCGGCTAGATGATATGGTGGACAAATTATGCTTTGGCTGCTTATTTTAATTTACAAATATATTTATATTTGTAATTGAGTAAAAATGTACCTCTCACATTTTTTTAATCGGAGCCTTTATTTAGAATTATCGACCAGTTTTATTGTAAACAAAAGTAACAAATTATACATTTTGTCCAACAGCTTGGCAAAGGCCACTATACTAAAGGGTATTGGGGCGTAGTCCACTCGTTCCACCACGCGACCACACGCGGTTTGGGGAACTTCACATATTCGAAATATTTTATTATATTTCGAATGTTTTCCTTCACCACTGAGCCAGTGTTAAGACAGCACTTAAAATTGGAAGGAACAATTTTATTAGGACCGGCAAAGAGATTTGAACTCAGGTCGCTCGAGTCACTGATCTATCACAAATCACTCTTAGTGTTAAGAATTAGTAAGCAAAACTATTTAAAAACTACTAGTAGGGAAAATTTAAATAGTAAGTGGAAAGAATTTATAAATATGTCACTAATACAATTTATTATTTTGTGTTTTTGAATCTGTGCCAGTAACGTTACGTTTGACGACGCTACGTTTGAAAGAAACAACTACAATAATTTGTTAAAGTGAACAAAAGTTTATATACCTACTTTTTTTTTTTGTAAAATTTTATGTAAAAAGTACGTTAATGTGTTCAAAGAAAAAAGTTGTGTAGACTTATAGATTACTAACGGCCGGACGTTGATATCAAATTATGCATTATCTTCCCGAAAACTTTCGACATGGTGGATAATAGTGATAATAGTGATGTTTAGCATCCGTATTTTTATATAATATAGCGCAATTTTGCTAAGGGCTTATTGATTTTTTTCTTCATATGGCAACACTGAGGACGGGCGACGGCCAAACCACTGACGCTCCTGCGCGGTGGGCGGAGCTTGCAGGTCCCTTGCAGGATGCAAGGCGCGTCCTGCTCGGTGTTGCCAGAAGCTGTGCAGGCCTGCAACACCATTCATGATTTTGCATAGAGCGGCGGACTGCACGGCGGACTCCCAGGCAGGATAGTGAATGGGCCCCTATGCGATAATTTACTTCATGTCTATATATAGCAGCTCTTATGTATAGATATAACATTGGTATTTTTCTAGACAGCAGGAAAGGCGCCTTCAAAAATACGTTTACTAAACAAGTCCAGTTCTCTTAGAGATTTCTAATGATTTTAACATTGTGCGCACCGTGTTAATCAATTGAAGATTGTTTATTTCCTGGCCGTAACTGATAGTTTCAGGTACACAGTTGAAAATAAAAAAAAAACAAAACCTTGTATTGTTTATCTCTTTCTTTCCTACAAATACGGCAATTTTTCCACTTAGGTTATGGTTTTATGGTCAGTTTTTTTTAATCTCTCTCTGAACTACTGATTTGAAAGGTTTTTGTAATCGTTCACTTGTTAATGCGTACAAAATAAAGTGATAAAAATAAACCATATGTTTAACGACATAAAGATGTACTTTGAAATGAAATTTCTCTAACACTACTAGTGAGCTAACAACTCTATATTTACTATTGTTTATCACTCACTCGCGAGCTACACAACTCTACTCTGTTAAACGAAAAAAAATATAGTTACACAGGTCAACAGGAGGGAGTCTCTAAGGCAGCCTAATATTTAATCGTCTTAACTAATAATTTTACTGCCTCGGGTAACGTTGAACTTATAGTTTCAATTCATACTGGAACGAAGAATTTAACGTTACAATGGGAAATTTTTTGGGGTCTTTTAACGCTAGAAATGTAGATCTTTATATGGATGATAAACCAACGTTCAATCCTCAAGATGGATTTTCCTTTGAACGAAAAGAACGAGGTAATAAATTAATACTTAAGAGCAAATAATATGTGAAGAAAAGGAATGATTTACGCAGTTGTTTTATTTTTTTCTTAAGTGTTACATAATGTTTGGTAGGTTAGTCTTTTGTTTATAACAAATTTGTTAATTCTTCCTTTAATTTTTAAATGTATTCATAATGAGCTTTCACTTAACAAAATTTTATTGGTTTACTCTTTCAGAAATGATAGCGCGAGAAGAAGACTTGATTTCTGCAAAAATCCCACCCTCTAAACGCGATTATTGTGCTCATCATTTACTTGAATATAGACAGTGTCGTTACAAGAACATGCCTATGTTGTATAGATGTGCACATGAGAAACACAATTACTTGAATTGTGAGCATCAGGAGTAAGTAACTAAGATCACACAAATATTTTTCACTATAGTAATTCAGTGAGGTAAAATAATATCTTCATGGACCTTAATCTAATATTGTTGAATGTTATTCAAAGAATAACAATTGCTTAAAAAATTGGTAACTATTTGATTACTTATTATGTACTGTAAATATGCAGAACTTGTTTATTAGCAGTTATTTCAGCAAGCTTTTACCAGGTTAAGTATATTAGCAGATCTAATATTTAATATATGTTTTTGGGTTTAAGACTTGTCGCTCCTCTCTGTGAATATGTTATCTTGTTAAACTGATGTCAGATTTTTTTTATGAAAAAGTTAGCAAGCAGGCAGGCCCTTTACCTGATGTTAAATGAATACTGCCCCCAATGGACATCTGCACACCAAATGGCATGTTAATGCATACAACCATTAAAAAAGAGGGGCCATGGCACTTCCCTAGATGAGCCTGTCTATATGTGCAACAGCAGAAGTTACCACAGTCAAAATAAAGATGCTTGCTATGTGGGTTATTAAAATATGGAAGGACGGCTTCTCACTTCTATGTATTATTATTACCCAGTTGGCAGCAAATGTTTGACATTACTAATCTAAAGAAATTCAGACTAGACATTTGTTGCACTATCCACTTAACAAAACATAGATTCCCAATTAGGCCAAATGGTGAACAAAACATGAGAATTTTTTTTTGTTTTTGCATGTCAATACTGTGAATAAATGCTGCTTAAATTCAAAGTCTTGATCCAAGTTTATGATCAATTTTAAAACCATTATTAGATTATTATTGGTACTATATGAAAAATTTTATTTACTTTTCCAGCTATGTTCTACGGATGAAAGAATTTGAGCGAGAACGTCGTCTTCGGCTCCGAGAAAAACGTCTTGTAGGTGTTGCTTAAATACAGTAAAATTTGATTTAATGGATTGTAAATAAATAGTATGAAAAACTTTATTGTCATTTAATCATTGTAAGTTTTTACTTACTTCAAGAATATTGTTTTTGCTGCACATTTAATAAAGTGGATAAATATATAATTTAAGAACTAATTTTTTGTTTAATAATAAGTCAACTCAAAATTAACTTGAATCCTAAATATGTACATGACAAAATATATTTTGGATTTCATTAAAAAATTACATTTTTCCATCTTACACAAACTGTAAAATTAGGGTACACAAAGTTTACTTTTAAAATATTTAAATAAATGTTTTTGAAAGACTAGTACTGAATGTTCCCTTTACAATGTGCCTGTAATGTATGTTTGTCTTATCACGAGTTTTAAATATTGGCCTGGAATCTGTGTTCATAGAGTTAAATTTAGGATTTTTGTCCTAGTATGAAAATCATTGTAGTGTCACATAGGGTGATTCCCTGAGCAGACATTTCAGAACCAGCTCTGTGTCCATGTCTTAGCTTCATTAGTCTCGTTGATATGAATGCGTCTGGTTCATTTGAAAATTTTTGTCTTAAGCTTTTGGAATACTGGTGAAAAAAGGCGAAAAACTCTGAAAACGTCTGAGGCTAAGGTGTGGGCTTTGGTGCGGAGCAGTGGTTCGTGCTCCATTCAAGGTGTCTGATATAAAAGTTTTCTTTGATTCCCCATTTTTAGATTTTAACAAATTGGGAATCAAAGAAAAGCCCTCAGTATGATCTAATTATCAACACGGTTGGGTTTGGTCATTAATATTAACTGAAAGAAAATATTTTCATTTTTGAAGCTGCTATGTCCGACTCGAAACTTGTATAGACACGAATCATCAACCGCGGGTCGTTAGTTTCAGACTTTAAAAAAAGTATTCCGGGAGTTAGTCTGTATATTTTGTGTTTGAAAACTACGATAATATAGACCCTACAATAAGGGTGATGCTTCCAATCGTTTTTATTTTACAACTTTTTATTTACTTTTACAATTTACGAGACGTGATCCAAGGTAGCCACAGAGGGCGGTTAGAACCTAGGCTTGGCCCGCCATCGACATGTTATCGTGGATCCTATTTAAGTTGTGTAATAAGGTATAATATAATATCCCTCCATACAATGATATATAATAGTTAAGTTATACGCTTACAAATTCAACGGTTTAAAGTTTTCCAAACACAGTTACCACACATTCACACTTTTTGTTCAACATATAATGAACAATAATAATAAAATATCTTTATTTACATAGACACTAGTGCGTTCTTATGAAACGTCGAAATTTTACAAAGAAATTATTACGTTCGTAAGTTATCACATAACTTTCGCACTCATGTCGAATGGTACAAAAAGGATAGCGTAATGAAAGCAATATCGATACCTTAATTGGCAAACAAGCTAACTCCATTTGGGCAAGTTTTACAGGAGACACTTAAAACTGTATAATATTTTTTAGAGTACTTATGACAAAATATAAAATATAGTTGGTAGATATTATCGTAAATTGTCATTTTTGATATTATAAATTCCATTATACATTTTCATTACCATACTACAGCGTTTTTCAGGAGTTATCATTTTTCCTTTCGTGCAAAAGTATTTGATCTGGGAGTTAGCTGGTTTTCTTGATAGATTTATTTTAAATAAAAACTTTCTTTTCAAGTGTACAACCAACGCGTCGTAGGGTTTTGAAAATTGGTTATTAACAACCAGAAAAGAGTCAGCTTTATTGGTATCGTAAAATTTAATTAAATTTTTTAATATCTGTTGTCATCTCCTTATCAATATAGTAATTCTATTGTTAGAATTACTTTTTTTTTTTTCAATTAAGAAATTGGTTAGAATCGTTGCAAACTAATCAGAACTCAGCCCACCTTTGCCTTCATTCCATAGAAAGGAACACCCATCTCTAGTTTTCATATCATAAACGTAGTGATTACATTCTCTTTGCGCACACCGGGTATGTACGCCAGAGGCCCGTTCCATACCCGATAGGTATGGCCGCCTCAACCGACGGTGGCGGTAATTTCGACCGGATGATGCGTAGAACCGTGAAAGGTGTCGGGCCCTTCTTCTTGTACCTATATATTTATTTTATATCAATGTTAGAATAAATTTTTAGTATGTACGAATTAAAAAAAAATCTTATAAAATTATTTCCAATTTTAATATAGGTACGAGTACAAAAAAGTTTCATTATATTATGCAGTTCTTACGAATAGTCGAAGTCTGAATCCAAAAACTATACCAGACATTTCACTAGCACCAAACGTAGTGATTACATTCTCTTTGACTAGCACTTGTTTATTTTACACTTTCAAAATCGCTATCCGATACAGAAGTGCTCTCATATATCTTTATCGCCAAGTCTTATTATAAATTCTTTCAAATTATTTTCTACTAAGTAATCTTGATAATTTTTTTTTTCTGGTCATCATTTATTATTGATTGAAAATATTTCTTCTATAATCTTGGAGTTTACTTTTTTTCCTATTCATATTATTATATATTACTATTATTTGGCAAATTTTGTCTCAGCTAAACTACAAATTAGTTCTATAGGGTTTGAGTCGCCCTGATACGGAATGATACGCAACCTTTCTATTATATGACCATGTTCTTGAAGAATCATATCAACTTCATAGATAGGCTTAGGCTTGTGCTGTTTTAGAAGCTCTAATAAAACAGCCCTTTTCGTGTCATCTGTGAGTTCAATAATATTAGTCATCAACCATCCCCTGATATCATCTTTTCTCTTAGCAATTATATTTGCTTTATTTATTTGTGTGCAATAGTAAGATGCGTAATCCATAATCGCTATATTAGGCCTAGGCAGATTAGGTATTAGTTTTGTGCTAAGTAATTTCTTAAAATTATCTTTGTTCATGTCATGATTGATATCAGCGTTATTATGATTTGATTTATATACTAGAAGTGCGTTATGTATAATCCGTTCTTCAGTTCCTGCGTGAACTATTATAATATATCGTTACTCAAGAGAAATGTTAGAAGATGGACCACGTTCATTTACACTCTTGAAGGCCGATATGTTGTGTGCGCATAAGTTTCGTCCACAAAAACCCAATGTTTTCTGGTTTCCGGAGGCACCTCACGAATTCGTTGCATAACTCTTAAGTATCTAAAGCGCCATGCCGCAATATCCCTTCTTTCAATGAGGATTGTGCGCTTGCTTCTTATTTTTTTGTATTTTTAACCAAAATTATTTATAGCCTTTCTCAAGGTGACATAATTTCCTCTAAAATTTATATATACTAATTACTGCTGTAAGTTTTCGGAGCGTTGGTATTTCTTTTCGGACTGTATAAATAACGATAAATTTGTTCATGAGGGCACATTTGTCATAGTCATCTGAATTTACTTTGGGAGAATGCTCAGACATCAATCCTTTTCCTTTCCCCGGCGTACGGAATACACCATCATTCAACTTAGCCTCTGCTTCAACTAGCTTTGATTCAAGTAAGTGTGCCTCTAAAACTCTTGAAATACCTGAAACCGAAATAATCTAATAATAACCAATTTTTTATCTAAGTTGTAATATACTCAACATTACAAGATAATTATGATTATTGCATTACTTATTTAGAGAAACATTTTTAATTGCACAATATTACTTTTACGTATAGGTAATACGATAACATCAGATATTCAATGCCCTACATAACATGTAATAAAGACTAGTCGTCCCAATTGGGACGCTTTAGTGGTTTCGTGGCGGGCAGGTAGTGAGTTATAATAGGTAAAAAGGAGTACCTGTTACGATAGATACTTGTGGTAATTACCTGTTATAAATAGTAAAGTACCTGGAGGACCGAGCTTAGCTGGTAAATCTTGTGTTTTGGAAATAAAAAAATAAAAAATAAAGAAAGCAATGATCTGGTATAGACAAAAAGTATGAAAAAAAATGATCGTAATACGAACCGCTGCCGTCTGTTTTGGGACCGCCCGATTACCGACCGAGCTATTACAACATTTTATTTTGCGGCGAAATTTACCGTCATATTCGAATGATATTTTTCATTCCCTGAATGCAGGGATAAAAGGACATTTTCTAAAAGTGAAACCTAGCTAGATCGATTTTTCGCCTCCGAATCTACGCACATACTAAATTTCATGAAATATATACAAGAATTGCTCATTTAAAGGATAAGATACGCCTCTGGCCTCTATCCTACAACTAACTTCATCATGTTCTGCTTGCAATGCATACTGCAATGTATCGTAAAAATGTTACTCTCATATTTTTTTCAAGTAGCACCAAAAAAAAAAAGAAGTATAAGTTCAAAAACTGTAAGACCAAAAAAAAAAATAAACTGCCCTCCTTCGAATATATACAGCGTGTCGATACCATCGCGACAGTAAATGAACACACGTCTAACGCTACTTGCCAATAATCATAAAAAAATATTAACGTTAAACAAAATCCATAATTAAAAAATATATTTTTCAAACAAACTAATTAAGTAAAAAAGAAACAGAATTTGTAACACCTAAACAACTTGCGCCACAGCGTCGCATTACAAGCCTCTCCTTCTAACAGTATGCTTTGTCTCTTTTAAATTCATTCAACACATTCATATGCTTTGTGCCCTTTACAAATGAACTTTACGTTACGGGTTTATACGTAAGGGTGTTCTACAATTCTTTGTTTTGGAAAATTTAATAACTCTGTAAATATTGATGTTTAAAGAATGTAAATGTTTAATACAATTTTAAAAAGTTATCCCCTATATGTGTGTTCATTTATTGTCACGATTGTAAAGATACGCTGTCTATTTGTTTTTTTTTGTAAACTGAAAATTTCTTTTCTTTTGGATGGCATTTCATTTCTTACTCAAATGAATTGTATATAATCCTGTAATTTTTTCATACGCACAAGATGAACACCTTTACATTATATTAATTTGTTCCCAAATTAAATTATGCAATTACCTTTATATAAAATCGCGCAAAAGCGTGAGTATTCGGTTTGCATTTTGTTTCTTCGCCTAGGAATAATAATATGTTAGGTTAAGGCTATTTATTGAACAGACTAAATAAGATCAATGAAATGTGGGTAAAACTAGTCATTTTTAACCATTACTTTAGGTAAAAAGATGGACTTGAATGGAAGCATTGAGTTCGTAATTTGTTCCATATGTAATACAAAAATCAACATTAAAACAAAAATGTAACCAAAACAACACATTAATCGATTAAGATACTGTTTTTATGACAATTTTTTCAATCATATTGAAAAGAATTATCTTCTATTCATTATATTAAATGACAACCCTCAGAAAATTCCCATTATTGCCATTACCTAAAATATCCAGTCCATAAATTTTTACCTTATCTACCGAAGTTTATAAAGGCGACTTTCGTTTGCTGCAGATATAACACTAGTTACCTTGTCATATACAGACCCCATAAACTGGATATGCAATTGCATACCTTGTTTTGAAATGCTATTGAAGTTAATACGATACATCTTCAGTGATTTCTAACAATTTTTGTAAACACGCTTGTCGAATACACAAATTATATGTATAATAGGCGAATGCTATTTATTGCGGAAGTAATGGCTTCCTAAAATTTAATTGCAGATATTAATTTGTAAGCGATAATTTTTCCTATCCCAACATAAGTTTGAGTGAACAATATTTTATCGTAATACAGTGTGCATGGTGAATATTTGTCTCATCCGGCTTCTTTTTCATCAATTTCATATCGCGTCCCGTGCAAAAGCTACAAAGAACTTTTAAAATGGGATTTTCAGTGTTTTGTAAATGATATTGTCAGTAAATACACCGATAGCAAATGTTTTTGATATAAATGAATTGTCATAAATATGTTTGTTTTAGATGTTACTTTGAAAAATATTATCTTTGGAAACTTATGATTTGCTATGGTTGTAACATGAATCCAAGTTAATTTTAAGGGATTACCTATAAAAATGGATGATACTGGAGGTGCTTCTATTAGAAGTAAAACTAAAAGTAGAGACCAGGAAGATGAATCGGAAGAAGAAGTGTGGGATAGTGAGGATGAAGATGACACCATCGCGAGGATTCAGCGTGCTCATTACGCGCAAGCAGCTGCTATGAATCCTCGCAGGCGAGCACCCCCACGCCCTAAACCTATGAGTAACAAAAGAAAATTAGAAGCTGTCAAGAATTTTCATGATTTTACAAAAAAATTAAAAAAAGACACTGGTATAACAATTCGTAGTTTAGTAGGAAACAATATATTAGAACTAAGTGAATTTTCTAGTGAAGGTAGTGAATCAGATAGTGATGGATTGTCAGAGGAAGAGTTTGTTGTTAATCCTAATGCAGTGCAGGAGTTAGAAGAAGAAAATGAAAGTTACATTGATCCAGAAACTGGTGATATTTTGGAATATAAGAACTCAATACAGAAACCTGTGCACAGTGAACACAAAACAAATTCAGAAGTAGAACATCAAAACATGGAACCTAAAACTCTTTCTATAAGTGATATAATTAATGAAGGTGATATTGATTTGAGTAAGAATGTTGAAATTGCTGAAGTGGAAACAAGTGAGTTATGTTCAGAAAAATGTCCTGAAGATTTATTGAATATTAAGCGAGAAGAGGCTACACAAGAATTTGAGGAAACAAACAAATGTAATGAAATGGATGACAAAGAGACTCAACCTGGTAAAAAGTTAGGGGAAGATATGGATTCAGCACAGGATGATCAAAAGCTGGATGGTGAAGAAGAGGTATGTGATGTTCTATTATATGTTTCAGTAAATGCGAAAATGCTAAATGGATAGACTTTTTACCATAACAACCTTTTTACAATAACAACATAGTAAATACTTATATAAAATACACAGTTAATATATAGAAATGCTATTGAATATACAAAATCCTTTTGATGATATTGGGATATAAACTTAAACTCTACCAAGCAAGCTTATCTAGAATAAGAAATACAAATAAATAATATTTGTGTGAGCCTCCTGCTAGTTTGCCCTTTTTTTTCCATAAAAAAAAGTGTATTTAGAAATTGTTTTATGGTATGGTAGTTATCTTTTATGAGTTCAATGTTTTTTTAGTCACCTATTTTTATTTATTTAGTTTAAGATAGTATTAGAGATACTAATAAATAATGTTCATGACATACTAATTGTAACTTTTCATAAAGTAGTCACCATAGTAATTGATATATGTTTCATCAAGGCATATGTTTAGGCAATGTGTAGTTGTGCATAAATTAATGTACTGCAAATATTAATTTTAATTTGTTATCATGTTTATCTATTAAATAATAATATATATTATATACCAATATATTAACAGATGATACTTGCAGTGATTTGCATTATAATGAAATGGAAAACATTCTGATCATGGACTGCATTATGTACTATTGTGCACAATCTGTACTTGTCTGAAAAAAAAATTCCTGTAAAAACCTAGCTAATGCCTGCACTTAAAAAACTTAATCCTTTACAGCATAATTCCTCTCATTGAATTGTTGCATTGTTGCCATCATATATGAAGTAAATTTTTTATAGTGCTAAATTCTGCAATAAAATTTAACATTAAACTTTGTAGAAAAAATGTCTCTGCAATAATTGTATAACATATATTTTCAGCCTTATAAAGTATGATAATAATTTCCAATGTCGCACTCAGCTTTATTGGTATACTGTTGTATCTCCAAAATTCTGCTTGTTCTTTTCTTGAATTTAAATTATCCAGTTTCTTCATTTTATATCAAGGGTAATTTTCATTATCTTGCATTCAACAGTGCAAGAGATGTCCGATCTTAACCGTACAGGCTACTTTGCTATTTTATATGTTGTGTCTTTGGATTCATAATGTTTATCATATCATAAAATATATATCTCATTTAATCACAATGAAATGATGTATATATATTTTTTATTTCACTTTTTAAAATTTCTCTTCACACTCCCTCACTGAATGGTACAGAATCACTATAAATAGTTTTTGCAACAAAGCATAAATTAATTAATACAAATGGAACTTTGTTATAGCCTTAGATTTTATGTATCTTATTGTCATAACACTAAATAATCATTGATGTATTAATGAGGATTCATTTCTTTTAAATAACACAGTATCAAAATACATTTCAGAAAAAAACATCTAATTTAAATGCATTGAATGTCAGAAGAAATATTCGAGAAGTTATGGATGAAAAGAACTTGGATGCTTCTACCTTAGCAGCACAGAGACAGGAATCTGAACGTCTGGCTCGTGTTCAAGAACAACAAAGAATCATAAGAGAGGTTAGTAAAGGCATCGAATATGATTTTTTAATTTAAATAATAAGAGTTATTATATGATATTTTAATGTGATACAAAAATATAGCATAAACCAAGGAATCACTTCAGTAACAAAATGAATACTGGTCTCATTTTTTTAAATTTTTCATTAGTATCAGCTATGATTAAACAATGAACGAATTAAAAATGACCAAATATTAAATAATTTGATCAGATTATTCAACGAAAAATCTAAAATTATATTTTCTAAACATTTCAGGTACAAAGGCAAATAGCAATAAACAGACAAAATAAAATTCATCAGAAGACTCTTTCCCTTTTACAAGGTGGATCTTCATTATTAAAACGGACAGGAGCTGGACAAAAATTGAAGTATGTGTGTGCTTTACAATTTTATTATAAAAAATATTGTTTATTTATTATATTTATTTGTTGCAGTTTACCAAATACAGTATTAGTAAAGTTACCATCGGGAGAAACAAAAAAAACTACTTTAAAGCAAGGACAAGTTGAGGTAACAAAAGTCCCAAAACCAACAACATCTGGTTCAATTTTCCCTCAAAAAATTGGCAGACCTGATCAAAAATCTGAGAAGAAAGAGGTATGTAGGACACATGTTATGCTGCTTTAGTGCCTGTATTTTATCTTACTAAAATGTGTAAATAAATATGTTAAAGTGTACAAGAAATTAAGATATTAAAAAACACAAGTTTATTCCACTAAGCTGGGGTGAAGTGCAAGTTGGTTCATAGTGCAAGAACCAATGAAAATCGTCATCATTCTGCCCATATCCCATAAAGGTGGGGTTCATGGAACATGTAAATTATGTTGGTAATGGTATTGGCTAGGTTTATTACCTTAACCCTACTTGGAAAACACCCCATGGCCAAAGCCAATAGCTTAGCCACTGCACCACCGAGTGATCTCATTCTGGCAATTTATTTGCAATTTGAGTGTGACTTGACTACAACTGTACATATAATGTGTAGTCCTCATAATAACACGGATCACATGATCTAATATGACAATACTTCCATAGAGCATTGCCACATAATATATGCACATTGTATGTTTTATATTATTTTGTTTATGTTCAACAATATAATTCTGTGTAAATAAGGTTACACTTTAATCTTTACTACTCACATCAAAGAATAATACATTTCTAAGGCAAAATTATGTATAAACTCCTGGCTGTTCCCCACAGCATCTGTGTAAGAGGATTTTGTTATACAATTTATACATACCTCTAAATTTACATTCTTATTAATAATTTTTGCAGGTTGTTGAAATAGTAGATAGTAGTAGTGGTGAGGAGTCCTCATCATCATCTTCAGATTCCGATGATTGTATAATGTTATCCGATTCAGAAGTGCCACCAAGTCCTGAAGCTGATGAAGATCCAGCCAATTCTGGTAAAATTAATTATAAATAATGAAATTATTAGTACAAGCTAGCCTATATTTTATTAGCATGTAGAGCAGGCACTGGGGAGTTAGTGTAATGTGTAAAACCTGGAGAACGGCGACAAAAAATAAGAAAACGTATCTTACCATCAACTGTTGTGGTGTTTCCAGACCCTACACAAATTCTCTTCACAACAACAAGCAGAGTGTTTAATGTGTTTCTGTATCTATCTACACAAAAACATTGCATTATAATGACTGTTTTTGCATGCATTGAATATTTCAAATTAAAGCGTGGTTTACTTAAAATAATCTTAAACACACTTTCGTTAGGAGTCATAGAAACATATAGTGGTGCTTTTATTTGTATTATATAAATGGAAGACTAAAATAGATCCTCTAGGTCTCAGTGGTCATTGGGACTTTCTACCCAAACCCCCTTCACACATATCATTATATCAAAGATTTTAAATCATTGATTACACCTTGAAAATGGACTGCAAATGTGACTGTCAAACAATTACAGTCACATAAAATCAAGATTATTTAGAATATTTTCTATTTGTTTATGTAAATGTTTTAATAAAAATGGTCTAAATAAAAATGGGTTATTGTTGTCTTGTTTCTACAGCCATTATCCCACCTTGGTGGAGTCATGGGTATTGACTAGGTTTTTTTACGAATGACCGCCTGAATCATGCAGACCTCATTAAATATAAAATATATATACACTTTAAATATGATATATATAATATTTAAAATATTTATATACACTTATAACCAATAATCACACAAATCTGGAACAATTGTCTGTGGGTCATACAATACGTGGAAATCGATCCCACGAAAACTAGCGCCGGAGCGAATTAGACAAAATGGACCACCAACATTTGTGTCATTAATCTTTAACCTATGCATAACTCAAATCCATTAATTGAAATTTGGTTACTTTACTAGTTCTAATTTTTTTAATTTTTATGCAGGTTTACATGTAAATGATGCTTATAATATACCAGATGAGCAAGGTCGCGTATTGATTAACATTGGTCATCCAGAAACTGAAGGGGATATATTTTTAGCTCCACAAATAGCAAGGATTATTAAACCACATCAGGTTTGTTGTTGATTTTACAACCATTATGTGAATTCTTTAAGAAGTTTATTTAGTAGTTAATTTCTTTTAGTAGGTAAGTGGCATGTTTCAAAAAATAACTTCCTTGTTCAATCAATCAATCGCCATATGAAATATTGTACATTTTCCAGATTGGAGGTGTGCGTTTTTTGTTTGATAACATTATAGAATCGGTGGAAAGGTTCTCAACATCAACCGGGTTTGGATGCATACTAGCACATTCTATGGGCCTTGGAAAAACATTGCAAATTGTGTCTTTCTGTGACATTTTTCTGAGACACACAACATCTAAGACTGTTTTATGTATTATGCCTATCAACACTCTTCAGAATTGGGTAAGCAAAGGTTCAAAGATTTACACTGTGGGAAAATTATGAGTTACAGTAAATTTGTGCTTCCAATTTAGTAGCAGTTTTTATTTTTTGGTATTAATTACATGGGTATGATGCAATTCAGGTAGCAGAATTCAATATGTGGCTTCCTTTGGATGCAACAAATAGTCCACTTTCAGCTCATGGAGAAGTGAGACCCCGAAATTTTCCAATATATGTACTGAATGACAGTCATAAGACTCTTCAGATGCGAGCCAAAGTTGTTAAGGTATAGTTTTTATGTTTTTACTGCTTTTTTATTTTAAAATGGAAGAAATAACTTTTTTCATAGATGTTTAAGGGTTTTTATATTATGTTTTAAATTATTGTTCCTTTTAACTCCATTTTGCATTTCATAACATGTGTTTGTAGGACTGGACATCTACAGGTGGAGTGCTTATGATAGGTTATGAATTATACAGACTCTTAAGCATGAAAAAGGACAAAAAACCTCGTAAGAAGAAAAAAGCAGATGCGAAAGCTGATGCTGAAAAGGAGAAAGATAAAGAAGGGCTGAAACCTGATAAAACAGACTTAAATGAAGATACTCAGGTAAATAAGGTTCTTTGGAGTTCATAATTATATATCATAATCTTTTTAAACAAGACCATGCATAAAAAGCTTTAATTTTTATTGACCATTTAGAAATCATAATGTAATTTTGGGAAAATTAGGATAAACTAGATAAAATTAGGATCATAACAATTTTCTCTGCTAGAACATGGTGTTTCTTCTCTCTGAAAAATTTCTTCTTCAGAAAGTAGCGATAAATATGTTTAATATTCTCCTAAAATTCTATTTAATTTAAAAGAAGTAAAATTAATAACACATTTTCAGGGCTTTATTTTCTTTCAATGTAATTTAGTTTTAAATTTAGTTTTAACAACTGTGTTTTACTGTTGCTATGTTTATTATTTTAAGGGTTCTGAAAGCACAATTTCAAAACCATCAGAAGAATCACGGTTTGAGAGAGATGATGGTGAAAGTCAGAGCAGAACTGATCCAGAAGTTAAAGATGAAAAGAAAGATGATGCTCCAACTGATGAAGAGAAAAAGCTTTTAGATGGTAAGGAGAGTTGTCCTACTAATTTACTATATTAGAAATACCTGAGTGCTGTGTATTCTTGTGATGTATTCATGTGTGTTATATATCTTCTTCTATGTATATATAAAAAACGAATTGGGCTGGACCAATTTGGCAAGCTGGACCAATTTTTGAAATATTGGTGGCAGTCCATAATTTCTTATTATTTAAACCTTCCCTAGGTTTAAACGATGCGAAGTACTTTGTATACGAAAAATGTGGAATTTATTGTAGTAAGAGACAATAATACATCTATATCATGCTTATGTTAAGATCACTTTTATGAGCTTGTAAAAAAAAGCAATGTATGTTTTTGTCGTGTTTCATTAATTCATAGATTGAATAAGTTTCTGATTATCAAATATAATGTATAACTGCTCATTATTGTAGCTTTTTCGTACGGCCCTTTATACATTAAATAGGTATTTAAATAATTATTTGTAAAATGATAATTGAAATTTTATTTTGTAGAAATGTATGCAGCGTTAGTCCGGCCAGGACCAGACTTGGTCATATGTGATGAAGGTCATAGAATAAAAAATTCCCATTCAAATATATCTTATGCATTGAAGCAAATGAGAACAAAACGACGAGTTGTACTTACAGGTAAAAATATGTTGTAAATTCTACTAGTTCTAACTGTACCATAAGTTTTCTCTCAAAAAATGATTATTATATATATATATATAAACGCATAATCATTATGTTTAATGCTAACATTTAAATTGTTTATAATGTGATGTAAATGTTTATTTTTAATACCTTTTAGGTGTATTTGATACCAGATTTTTGTACTCATTTACAAAATTTTTATGATTATATATTATGTTTACAGGATATCCATTACAAAATAATTTATTAGAATATTGGTGCATGGTAGACTTTGTGCGACCAAACTATCTTGGCAGTAAGACTGAATTTTGCAATATGTTTGAACGGCCCATTCAAAATGGTCAGTGCATAGACTCAACTCCACAAGACATAAGACTGATGAGATATCGTGCGCACGTTTTGCATTCATTACTTGTGGGATTTGTGCAGAGGTATGTAAGAATTGGTATAACTTCACCTATTTCACCATCGCTGCTGACTAGGTCACCCTAAGGAAATTGCAGATGCATTGTCGACTTTTAAATGACCTCCATTTACCTCTTCAACAGATAGAATGCGAATGTATAAATACATTTACACTTGCTTTTAGCAGTAGAATCTGCTGTATACTGCTAGTAAAAGTCTCGAATGTCTTGAAGGTCAATAGATATATGACTGTACAAATGAATATTTTTATTGGTTCGATATTAATGAATATTAGTGTTCGAAATTCGACCATAACTAATTATATACGATAGTGTGTGTAATGTTTTTTAATGCATAATTTAAAACAATATATTGGCATTCTGCACTCCTCTATATAAACTCGTGAGTGTGGGAAATTTCATACTCCGACTGCGCAAATTTCGTAAAAAGGCGTCCAAGTTTTTGCTTCACGTATTGTTATTTTGAATATTAATGTGTATAAAGTGATTAATTTAAGTGTTTAAATGCGAACATATTTGCTGTTTTAATATTCATTTAAATTACTCAATCTTTCATATTTTTTTTAAATACGTTATAGTATAACATGATTATATTCTTTGTAATTGAAGAAAAGTTAAATCATGAATTTTGCGCATACATGTTATAACAGACGTTAACATTGCACAGACGTTCTCATGCTGTGCTCCAGTCAACTTTACCACAAAAAGAAGAATATGTTCTTCTTGTACGTATGACGCCATTGCAACGGAAATTATACGACAGATTTATGAACGAAGTTGTTCGATCCACGTCAGTGCCAAATCCATTAAAAGCGTTTGCTATTTGTTGCAAGGTAAATATTGCCGTTATCGAGATACATTTTCGGAGTTGATCTTTATTGATCTTTAATTTTATTAAATAATGTTTTTCAGATATGGAATCATCCAGATGTACTATACAATTTTCTTAAAAAACGAAGCGAAGTTAACGCTGCCGCGGAGGAAGATCTGGATTTAGAGGAAATAGGAGGGGTTACTAAAACTGGCCGAAAAACTAAAGGGAATACTAAAAAGGCAACTAAGCCACGGGTATGTTTCAGTATATTGATTTAAATCTATGTATTTTTTATATTGATTATTGAAAATTTGATATTTAAAGGGATCAAAGAAACCTGCTGCAACAATCTCTCCGAATACGACTGGTCCAGGAAATCATCCAGAATCCGGTGCTTTCGGAAACGCACAATTTCCAACGAGCGGGTCGTACGGCCCTCAAGGACCTCCAGGAGTGCCCAATTCCTACAGACCTGACCGTCCTGAGGGTCCGTACTCTCGTTATCCTGAGTACCACAATGCAGGGTCAGGTTACTACCCTCCTACCCAAGCATTTAATCAAGAGTTTAACAGTAATTATTACCAACAACAACAACAACCACAACAACAGTCTCAATATGGCAACAACTATCAAAACCAGTATCCACAAAGTACTTCTGATTGTAGTCAAGGATACAATCAAAACTACTGGAACAATAGTAATTATTATGGTAACACAGGATACTATAACAATGCACAGTATCCTGGTGCGCCGCAGCAGACTGGTTTTACCAACAATCCACCGGCAAACTTCAATAACCAACAAACTTATCCTACGAATTTCAATGCGATAGACTCAAACAGGCAGTCTTATCCTGCCAGCCAAGTGCCGCAGTATCCTGGAAATCAAGAAAATTTCGCCAATCAACTCAGACCTCCATTTCAAGGGCCCCTCAATGAAAGCTCTTCTAGCGGTTATCCAACCTTTAATTCGAATGCAACTGCAGCATCTAATAACTATCCAAATAATCAAGTACCTCAGGATTACTCAAGCACACCTTTTCAGCCCACGCAGTTTCCCGGAAATAGCTCGGCTTATGGTTCCAGTTTGCCACCAGCTTATAATCAGTACGATAACCATAATACAGATTTCGGTGGTTACGAGAATAACATGCCACCAAATGCGGTTCAAAATAATCCGATTCCCAATCAAACGAGACCTAAGACAGAAATGGACATGGATCCAAACTATCTGGCCGCCGAGCGTAAAGCCGATCCTAATTTTTCCCAGAACGCTGCTGTGCCGTTCGAGAATTCTTTCAATTTTCATCAGCAAAATTCACTTTATCCCGATCAGTCCGAGACAGGTGCAAACGGTAGCTACTCTTGTCCATATCCGGCTTTCACATCGACCCTTGAAACTAAACCGCCCCTCGGTAGCTCTGGCGGGAGTCCAGTTACATCGTGGCCGTTAACTGATGCTTTGAAAACTGAAGTGGATAAGATAAAACACGAAGAGAAAACTGAAATCAAGTCAGAGTCCGACGGCGAGGTGAAAATCGAAGATCTGGACACGAAGAAGATTGTTAAAGATGAAATAAAACGAGACACCCGAAAGTTGTCGGCGGCACCGATTAGTCAGATTTCAGAAAATTCTGCTAAAGATTTAACTTCAAAGGAACAGTCTAAAAGTGATAAATCCGAATCTGATCTCGAGATTTCAAAAAAGACAAAACAGAAAGGGCGAGGTAAGGAAACCAAGAAATCTGACAAACCAACTAAAGGTCGACCGAAGGCTAAAGGAAGGAAGGACAGAAAAGCATCTAAAGATAAAAACAACGACGATTCCGAATCCGATAAAAGTGAAAAGGAGGAAAAGTTGAACAAAGAGGAGGAATTAGCGATGGTCAAGAAAGCTGAGGAGATGACTTACGATTGGGCAACCGAGCTTTTAAAGGACTATGTACCTGGTATCATTGAAAATTCTGCTAAAATGGAGTTGTTTTTCTATCTCCTTAACGAAAGCATAAAAGTTGGAGATAGATTATTACTTTTCAGCCAAAGCTTGTTTACTTTGAATCTAATAGAGGATTTCTTGGAGAAGAACTTTATCCCAGGCACGAACTGTTTGTGGCAGAGAAATACTTCTTACTATCGTAAGTGCACATCAATCGTTTTTCTAAAACGTAGTTACGTTAATTGAGAATTGTTTCTCGTTGAAAATTCTTTGTAATAAATCACTCACCCTTTTTGCAATTTACAGGATTAGACGGCTCTACGCATGCATTGGAACGCGAAAAGTTAATCAACGAATTTAATGCGAATCCGAACATATATTTGTTTCTTGTTTCCACTCGGGCGGGGTCCCTCGGTATTAATTTGGTCGGGGCAAACAGAGTTATTGTTTTCGATGCCAGCTGGAACCCTTGTCACGACACGCAGGCTGTATGTCGTGTCTACAGGTCAGTTTATTTTACCGAACTCTAGATTATATAATGGACAAGCTAACCACGCCATTGTTTCCTGATTAACTTGAGGAATTGATTGAAAAAACTCAATCACACCTGAGCCAAGTTGTGGTGGGACGCTAGTTTAATAAATTTATTTAATATTTAAGGTATGGTCAGAGAAAACCTTGCTTTGTGTACCGTTTCGTCATGGATTGGTGTTTGGAGAAGAAGATCTACGATCGGCAGATCAACAAGCAAGGCATGGCGGATCGGGTAGTCGACGAGTGTAATCCCGACGCCGTTCTATCGATGAAGGAAATCACAAACCTCTGTTTCGATAACGACGAGAAAGTAAGTGGATATTTTTCGTTAATTTATTGCTGTGAAAAAAAAAAACATTATTGATGTTAACGCACTTTAAAATGGCGAATGTATAGCAAATTTTCGTCATGTCGCGTACATCAGCTATTTGTTTTGACCCTTCAGCGTGTGGTAGAGGAAGATCCTTTTTTCTTAGTGCATAGACCGAATTCCATAGGCACATTTATATATTGTTAAATTAAATATACATGATAACATCTAAAATGTAGCAATAGTATCATGTTATCGTTTAATTTAACTGGACCTCAGCAAACAGTGAAACTTTATGGGATTGAATTAAAATCAATATTAAACATTCTCCTTTTTTATGAACTAGATATTCACTACTTCTATGGAAACTTCATTATTCATATAAACGTTTGTTTTTGCTATTTGTTATGAAATTTATATCACCAAAAAAAATAGTAGCCAAAAAAAATCAATAAAAAACCATGATCTTAATTTATTAAATTAACGATAATTTGTGTTTAAATAGGAGTCGGAGCCTCAAGATTTGACGGAGCACAAAGACAAGTACATTGATTTGCTTATGCAAGGCATTCTTCAATACCATGGAAAATTGCTGAGCAAGGAGCCTTTCCAGCACGAATCACTTTTGGTTGACAGAAAAGAAAAGAAGTTGTCTAGTGCCGAAAAGAGGCTCGCACAAAGAGGGTTTGTAATGACATAGTTTAAAGTATAATTTATTACATAGGTTTAAAATAATACTGGAGGTAATATAATCAAATCTTGAAAAAATAACCTATATAACTTAATTTCTAACAAAAAATAATAATGTTTAGAGTCGGAGCCAAGCCAAGTATCTCTGATCTGAGTATAAAAACATTCTCTTAACTTTGTTATGCAATTTAGTTGGATTACATACACAAATAAATACATTACTATATTTTAACTCATTTATTAGATAACCGCAGCATTCATTGTAGCTTAGCGTCTTTCTATTTTTCAAAAAAGAAGAATATTCAAAGCCGTCTATGACGGAGCTATGCCCGAACATACATAAAAAAAAACGCAAACATACGAATCGATGACCTACTTTTGAGGTCGGTTAAAGAGCCTGGATCGTCATCGGGGCCTATTTGAACGGGTTAATGATAAGCGAGGCTCGACTGTGAAAATCCGAATTTAAAACTCCTACTTTTTGAAGTCGCTTAAAGAGCCTATGTCGTCATCGGGGCCTGTTTGAACATATCAATGATAAGCGAGGCTCGATAGTGAACGGTGCCGCCTCGTGGCAGGTACGAGCTGGAGAAGAAGGCCGCGTCGGCGCCGAAGCCGGCGGCCGCCTACCGGGCGGTGCGCGCGGCGGACGGCAGCGTGGTGCAGCGGCCCGTCGCCTCAGTGCGGCCCATGCAGCACGGCGCGCGCTGGATACCGGCCGACGTGTGGCGCCGCCAGGGGATGACCGCGCAGGAGATGACGCTGCCCCTGGGTGAGTTACCACCCCCTCCTTTTTTTTGCTTTATGGATCCCCTGCCACTGGATCGGGGGAGTGACTGGCAGGGGTATGTCACCCCCACTAACAAACCCGCGTTGCACCTGTCTCTGTCGCATCCGCCGGGGACATGGGAACACCCATCACGAGCCTCATATTGACAGGCAGACACGCCCATGGCTGCCACTCGGGGTCTCACTGTCAGGGGGGAAGGTTGCGCGCATAGGCCAACCTCTTCGGAACACCCCTACTCCCCATTACTGAAGTTGTCGGTTGAAGGTCGTCGGCGCCTAGTTAAGCACCTCCCCCCCTCGCGCTCCTCCGCCACTCACCTCAATATTCCGTAAAGCATCGTCGGACGCAGCCCGCAGAAATGGACCACCGCTCGTAGAGGTAGCGGCACGCATGTATGCTTTTCTAGCGACGTTTTCGGCTGAGGTTCGTCGAAGCCTAGGCGAGAATTCCACCCCAAGAGGGAGGACCCTCTTCACAAGAATCCGTAATGCATCGTTCCGGGAACATAGTTCAACAACGATTCCTGGGTAGCCATCTCAGGTGAATCGCTTGCTTGGTCGTTTCTCTATTGAAAATATCTTTATTTTTAATGTATCAAAAACCTTCGGCGGCCTAGAAGCTGACTACTCTTTCTCAAATATTTTCATCCTTAGCGCTACGTTACATTTCCGTAACAATCGACTGTATCAACTGTTAATTAAATTTAATAACGATACATCAGACAATCAGACTGACACGGATAACAATAGAGAAGATTTTAATAAATTATTTTGACTGTTCCATTTTTATTTGCAGACGTGGTTATACCGACAAACTCGGCAGAGAAAACGAATATTGTACTTAAAGCTGGTCAACGTGTTATGGTACTAAAATCGCCCAAAGGAATTTATATGCAGCTTGAGTCTGGTAAAATAATTGCAATCAAAACATCCCTTAAGGGTTTGCAAAAAGGTTCTGAAGGCAAAGAAGGAAATCCCATTGGAAAGAAAGGTACGTTAATTGAAAAAAAAAATGAAAACTATTTTTATCATTGCTTACAAATACTGATAATTTTCTTATTTAGTTCTAGGTACCCGCCCTACGTCAGCGAATATTCCGGGATCCTTAAAAAATAACTCTGCAATCACAATTACATCTAAAAGCGGCCCAAGGCCCGGCATTCACAGGGTCATGTCCAGACCTTCAATAATGGGGCCCAATAAAATGACTAGGCCTGTATTTTCCGGACAAAAGATAGCCGACATAAGGAATCGTTTGGGCGAAATGAGGTCGCATTCGAGCATGCGAGCCAAAATGCCTATGAGCCATGCGAGAATGCTACGGCCAAACCTGCCCGGTTCCGTTAGTATAACAAGAATACCCAAAAACGCCAAAAGACCAGCGAACCTTCTCTCCAACGAATTAAAGAAAATGGAATTGGAGTCCGATGAGGAAACGGAAATATTAGATAGCGACGACGACGGATCACTTAAGGTTCAAATGAAAGACTCAAAGGTGCAACGGCCAACTGACTTAAAAGGAAATAACCCTAATAGTGACACGCAAACTCCAAGCGCTCCTGATGAGACCGACAGAGAGATAGAGCATAGCCTGGACAAGGAACAGAAAAGCAACGATAACGAACCCATGGTCCTTACAACCGACGAGAAATTGCCACCCGAAGACGCTTTAGAAAGTAAATCAGCGGAGGAAAACTCCACCGACATATCAGACGCGGCTAGCAATCAAGCAACAATAGCAAGTATGGAAGCACATAATCCAATCCAGATTGAGAAGAAAGTTAATTTGTTAAAGAACTACAGGCATCAACGCCCGTGCAGCCGGCCTCAATCGGAATCTAGCCTAATCCATCTCGAAAGGACGGCGAGCACTTTGAACAAAGACGGCATTCCGGATTTTCGAAGGAATCTGGACGACATAACGCAATCTTACTCGCCGAGTGCAGACGATAGAACCACCGCTAGACCCAAGAAGAAATCCACAAAATCATCACCCAATAAAACTGAAATAGCATCTGAATCTCAAAACTGCGACAGGCCGACATTTTCGAATTCTAACATGTCCCACAGCGTGTCTAGTCTACTTGGCCCGAGCAGTCAAAAGTCTAGAGTTGCCGAGCCGAATCTCAGTAACCACTTACCTAAACCGAGAATGAGTGAGACGGTGGCGCAGAATTTGTCACAATGCGGCCCGCGAGCAGGGAATCCTTTAGTAATGCCACGCGATAATCCCATGAGTCCACTTCACGATTTCGCCATCGGTCCGAGTGTAGAACACGCCAAACACCAGGCTTTGGGCCAAAGTTTGGGAAATATTGGTTTGATGAGCGGCGGTTCCTCCGTTGCCCCAAATATCGACGTCAGGAAAGTGCCGGGGTCGCTTGGTGATCTGTCAACTGGAAGTGCAATGCACACAAGTTCGCCGCTAACACCCGGACCTACATATCCCGCTAACAATCTGCCTCCGGAGGCACCCTATGCCCCGTATCCAGGTAACCACATTTTCTAGCTCAATGACAAGAATTATTTCGCTGTAAAAGTTAGTCATATGGACATAATTTGCACCGCAATATTCTTCACACATTGTTCGCAACGTTACGGCTTAGCCATCGATGGTTTTAGAATTTCAAAGGAATTTAATGTATTTTTCATTTCCTTGTTGATTATCCATCGCTTCGACGATTCTAATACCGCAAACCTTCGCAGGTTATGGAATGGGTTACGGCGCTTATCCGAACGCACCATACTACGCGGGGTACGGTGGCCCGTACTATCCCCCCTACGCGGCACCCCCCACTACCACCCCCTCAGTACCACCACCAGAGCATTACCTACCTTCGAACCAACAGTGGTAATATCTGGACTTAAGTGACAAAACAGTATCAGTGAATGTGCTTTCTAGACACGTGATTTATTAAGTAATAATGACGCGAGTCTTTCAAGTGAAATTCGAATTTGGATGTGAGTTATTTTTACGATGTTTGAACAATGTACGAAGCCTCGTATACGTTATGCCTCAGTTGTGCGATGTTATGGAGTGTTTTCAAGTTTTATTCAATGAAACGCAAGACTCACTTGTAAAAAATGAACGCAAAAAATGAACGAAAAGGGTATTAGTACGTTGGGTATTTCAAATGTATGCACTGAGATGTGAGTAATTACGGTTCGTGCATAGTTTTTCTCTGTCGCACGTGCCGAAATTAAAGCAAGCATCTTAAGTGTGAGGTAAGTTCAATTTATTCCAAAATCACATGTCGCCCATTGTTAGAAAAAAATAATACAACCATATTTCGTAAGAAACGTTACTTTTTTGTCAACTTTCGATGATAAATATATTTGGGTCACTTTTCGGTGAAGACTTAAATGTATAGACGAAAAACATTTTGAAACAAAATGCTGATTGTAATTTTAATATTATTGTTTGTTAAAAATAACAATTTATTATCATTATTTAGATACAAAGTAGAAATCTCAGTAAACTATTTTTCGTATATATGTATGAACGAATGATGATGGTAGTCTGTTAGTTCATGTCAGCCCAGTCTTTCCATAATTACGGCTATAGATTGGTCGCGATGGATGTGATACGTTGCTAAACTAATGTTAAGTCGAAGTTAGCAAATAAGGAGTATTTATCATTTAATTAGTTTTAGATAGGCGTCCGTAATTATTTCAGTTGACATATAACCATTAAAACTGGCCCGTGATACAAGTTAAATATTTACGTGATAGTATTATTGAAATTCGCAATTTCTTACTTTTACATAATATTCGTTTATACGCATGTGTCGCATGTTCAGCCGTGAATGTAATTTTGTATGAGGGCAATTGAATTTCTATTTTCCTTTTGCTGTGCTTAATTAAAAATTCTTTATCTGTGATGAGTTCATACAATGTTCTATGTATTTTAAAAATATATACATTTGCAGTGATCGATAAAAGTGGTCACAAACGTTAAATAATTATTTTTGTTATTTGTAAATTGTAGTGATTTTCGCGAAATATTGTACATTTCTGTAACGACTGGTAGGTCTGAAGATCATAGTTTTTGTATCAAAATTCAAAAAATTGATTAGCCAAAATATTTAATAATAATGTAGCAAATACGAAGATTTCTATACACGATTTTGAAATTTTTTTCAACATGTTTTCGACTTTTTATCCTAATTTATTAATTTTCATACTTCCATTTTGAAATTTTAAAAAACGTTCGTAATTTTGTTTGGAAATGATGTTTTACATTATTCATTCTTCGTTAGATTTGAAATAAAAACAACGCGGACCTTTTGTAAATTTTTATTTTATTTGTGCATTTTACCTTTTTAGGCTTAAACTTAAGTCTGGTCTATAATGATTTTATCGATACTTATTTTACCGCTATTGATACATTTTGTACATAACTCAGTCTTAATGGCGCACACGAATGGAGAATAGGAATTCCTACGAAAACTGTGTATCTTTCACATTATTCGGTTTAATATTAATTTGTACAAAATAGCTGTGAACATAATTGTTTGAGGTGATACATGTAATATAAACTTGCATTTTAAATTGGTCAAATAGTTCTGTACCGGTAATCCAATAAAGAGATCAATAAGAAAAAGGAATTTATTTCTCCCAACTCTTTAATTTTATTGCAGCTCGTAGTCGTAAAGAAATTAAAGCTGATTGTGAAATCAGTCAATGTTGACTGACTGCCGTTACGCAGTGCTGAAGAAAAAATTAAATTGTGCTTAAAGAAATTACTAATTTCGAATTAAGATGGACCAATCGGTGTTGCGTCTATATGCTTATTGATAAATACGGTCTGCTCTATCACTTCGGGCTGATTGCATTATCTCGCAAATCGTCCGAGCAAATGTCTCTTAAGGCACACGCTCTTGCTTTACAAGATACGTACGTACGACCTTTAACGCCTTGTTCTCCGTGCACGGCAACACACATGCATTCTTCACCACACAAGCGCACGTCACCTCACGCATACTGCTCCACACTGGCGCGTCACCACACACGGTCACTTCGTCACACACGCACACTTCATCACACATGCGCACTTCGTCACACACGTCCTTGGTCACACACGCACACTTCGGCACACACGCACACTTCGGCACACACGCGCACTTCGTCACACACGCGCACTTCGTCACACACGCGCACTTGGTCGAACACGTGCACTTCGTCACACACGCGTACTTCGTCACAAACGCGCACATCGTTACATACGCGTACTTTGTCACATGCGCACTTAGTCACATGCGCACTTTGTCACATGCGCACTTTGTCACACGCGCACTTCGTCACACACGTACACGTATATAAAGACAAGCGATGGTCGATTAACTCACAGTTCGCAAACGGGATTTCTTGGGCCGTCAATGTTAATGCACATGTGTCAACATACGTGACTTTTATAGTAAAGATTATCACACTCGTGGAAACTCGACTTTTAACGAATTTTGCGACCGAAGAAGCTTTAAAAAGGCTCCGGATTAAAACACAACTTTTTAGCAGTACAAGTAACAAGAAGCAAAACCGACTTTTCAAATTCCTCACTCCATACATTTTCTTGTTGAGTTCCTTGATGTACTTTTGGAGTCTAAGGTCAAATACCAATAATATTAATATGGGACCACAAGCCGTTCCGTCCTTATTCTAAAAATTTAATGATTCATCTTAAGTGCAGAGATTAGTACTACAAAAATTTTAATTTCCTATAGCAACGGCGACATCTCTCGTTCGAATTATCGTTGTAAAATCGTGGTAAAACTATATTTGAAATTGTTCGTATGCTGTGAAGAATATAATAATAGATGCGCCAAACATTGCTTGAAATGCGAAAAACCAATGTAGATAAAAGACGTTGAGATTTCATCGGTTTGGCAATCAGCCGTTTAGCTTAGTGGTTAAAGTGTCTGGGCGCGAAACCGGAAGAAGTGGGTTCGATTCGTGCAGCGGCGAAAAACGTTGCGTCCTTTTTTATACAAATTTAAAAGAAACGAGATTACTGATACTGGTTGTTTTCATAGTTTTAAATATATCAAGCTGCTCCATTTGGTAGGACTCTTTGGACATGCATATAAAAATAAAATGATTTGCGGAAGTTGATTATAATATGTACATTTATTAATGTCATATTTCGTTTTTAGAATAATCTAAGTATTGATCAAATTAAAAAAAATATTATACTTTAAAGTATCGGGTAATAATGTATCTGTTATATGAGATTAGTTTTATTATGTAAAATAATATTAAGTGAAAATAGTTTACTAACGCTGTCTGCTTAACTTCCACTTGTACGTTTTTTTTTGTTCTTTGTTATAAGTTCAGCTACAGCTTCAGGGTGTTAAGATAATTGTGTTTTTATTATTTTAACGAGATATTTATTTTAAATAAACGAAATTTTAAACAATGAAACGTATAACGTTTGTGTTTTTGTATACAAGTAAAGAAATGTAAAGGTGATCTTCATGCTGTAGACAGGCTTAACTTCTTTCGATTTTTTCTGATATAAATGTAGACTAACCTAGATTAAGATATTCACTTCATCCATAATCTCTTGATGTGTGTGGTTTTGAGATGTTCCCTTCATAACCAAATAACCAGATCATGTTCTAATGGATGACTGCACTTAATGTTCGCCCCCGTTTAGTTTCACCTATTTGATTTACATATAATAAATTATCCGCCCGTTGGTGGCAATTAATAATAAAGGAGAGGACTCAAAAGATCATTTGAAGCGATTCTAAGCCATTAGAACCAATTCTATTTTAGTATTTCGCAGTGCACCGCTGTGCGCTTTCACGCATCCTTCTGCCGCACCGATTTCTTAGTGCAATTAGTTTTTGCCAGTGATATAACAGGATCATTCCTTCTCTGTAAGACCAACAACTTATCTGCGCCCACTCTGGTTCGATTAATTTTTTAATTGTTTAATAACTTAGCGAATTTTGTGAAGAAATCAGACAGACATAAAATTTAATTCGTACCTACCAACACTTTCTACCTATATAACTCACACAAATCCTACGGATATGCTTGAGTTTGTGACTTGAGTCCTGTTTTTTTTCTAGTCCTTGGCTTTATAAATATTTTATTCCTCAGCAGGGATATATACCATATTTAGAGAAAATTTTGGTGATTGCCAAAGGCATAGTTAAAATATATGGTGCAACTATACGGTAGAAGTATTTCTAATTCTAAGCCTAAAAATAGGTAAGTAACTGCTAGCCATGAGTAGTAAACTCAGACTATTATATCCAAAATTTATTTAAGTGAATAAATCGTCTATATTTAATATTTTTTAAATGAACACATTAATGTCTTTTGCCCAGTTCCTAAAGTTTCCTAATTTTCATGTTCTTCCAGTTTTATCTTTTAATATCTTATTACATTTTACCTATTATAAAAGTTTAGGCAGGTAAAAGTATAAAGTCTAATTAACCTATAACATTGCATTTAAATAAGAACCTTAGAGTAGAGATAAATAATGTTTGTTGGTTACTTTTATCAAGCGCCTCGAGTGTATTTCTCTACAAATTTTTTTGGCTAGTAAAAAGAAGATGACAAATTGCGTCGTTTTTTATACCCGAGAAGGCTCGATGCTTGTCACGGTATTTATCTGGGAAAACGGGGGCGTCGAGTCTGTCAGACAAACTTTATAATTGCGTCAGTGGTACGACGGTCTTTATGAATAATAATAAAATTTTTAGTGGTAATTATCAAGTTTCATAAATAACTAAAGCTTTGATTAAGCTTATGTAATAAAGTATTTAATCAAAGAACTAAAGAATTAATTATGTTTTTTCAAAACAAGATTAAAAAAAACAAGATTTAATTATGTTTTTTCTCGAAAACTAGAGGTGACTACCGAATTCTACTTGTTCATTAATTCGTAAGTGATATGTCTCTATAGTTCTCTATCGTTAAAATTTTTCTTTTGTTTGCTATATAAAAGTAGTGGGCTGCTGAAATTTTACCGAATATCTTTATTCCTATTTCAATTATTATTTAAGTTCTAACGTTTGATATTTACAATTAATCAAGTGTCATCCGTTAATGTCTCTTTTTCACTTTTCAAATTTAGCTATTCTCATTTAGCTCTTCTGGCTAGTGATCGGTTGCAATATGGTTAATGGTAAGTAGTTACGTGGTATTTTAGGTGAACTATCTAATTTCACTACATAGTATGAAACAAAGTCGTCCGACTGTCTGTCTGTCCCTATGTACGCTTAGATCTTTAAAACTACGAAACGGATCCTGACGCGCTTTTTTTTACTAGATATAGTATAATACTTTGCACCCGTGCGAAGCCGGGGCGGGTCGCTAGTTATCATTATAAAGCTATTGCCTATGCATTATTTTTCTTGAAATATGTATAATATAGAATATATATATAGACATATAGAATATAATGCGAGCAGTGTTGGGCTAGCGGCTGGAGTACGGGTCCGTGTGGGTTCGATTCCCCGAACCCTTAAGTGAAGGAAAGATGTGTCTCATAATTTGTGGTCAGTGTATGGTGACGGTGTGTGTGCAGTGCACACTTACTGCACTCACCAGGTTATCACGTTTTGGTATTAATATGCGCGCAGATATTATATATTATCTTATATCATTCGTTTTTCTATTTCTTATTCAATAGCAATAGAGCTTGTAGTGCCAGTGCCATACAATGTGTTATGTAAAACAATGCTGCTTCATCCGTCTTTTGGATACCATAATTTTAACATTTTTACTAGGAATTTAATACTTCTACCAGAATTATGCAAACCATGAAAAATAGTAAGAAGTAAATAAAATTAGTGTAACAAAAGTATTGTTTATGAACTTTCTATCAATTTTATACACAAATGTATCATGCCCATTTATCAAATAATACAGGACTTACCTAACTTGTGCAAAATAAAAGTGACAAGTGTTACTATCATACTTTGCTTACTTTGAAGTGGTGAACCGGCGATCTATAAAACGCAAACCTTACAACTTTCCGCCTCCATTTTTATAACAAGACGAGAGGACAGCGCAGTGGCAGTGTCCGTTGAAAAATTAAAGACGCGATCCAGATTAAACAGAGAGTGCAGTGTCTAGAAATAATATTTTTTTTATGACTTAAAGTGACAATAACTCTGTATTTTTAAAAATGTTGTATATAATTATATTGGTAAGTTTTTTTTCACTATTCTTGATAAAAGTCAATACATACATAAAAAATAACGTATTTTGATAATTTCATAAAAGTTGGTTTTCAACTAAAAAAAATATTATCATGTAAATCAAGCAAGCGTTTTCGTTTTTATATTATTTATCTTATAGAATATTTTTTTTATATATGTAAGACACGACTTTCATTTAATTTAATGAAACATATTTTAATAAATAGGAAATTAAATGTAAGTTTCGTTGATAAATTGTACAAAGCCTCAAATCAGCGTCTTCTGAGTAGATAATGCGTCTAAAACAAAAAATAATCGTAAAAAAATAAAGTCTCTCTAAAACAAAACACAAATTAAATAGTTACGGAACATGATATTACATACAAATACGAGGTAGATATAACACTATCGCATCGAAATTGAGGCTTCCAAATATCTAATATATAAAATTCTCGTGTCACAGTTTTCGTTGCCATACTCCTCCGAAACGGCTTGACCGATTTTGATGAAATTTTTTGTGCTTATCCAGTATCTATGAGAATCGGCCAACATCTATTTTTCATCCCCCTAAATGTTAGGGGTAGTCCACCCCTAAATGTTTTTTTATTTTTTAGGCAAAATTTTTAATTTCTATTTTTTTATGATACAACATACAAAAATACATACAATCCTCAATTTTCACCCATCTACGCAGACATAGTCGCGGGCAGCAACTAGTTATTATAGAATATTAATGATTAGACAATTTTTAAATGCCGCGCAATATTGACATGCGTCATCTTTATTAAAACATCATTTGTTTCGACTATAAACCGGATTTTTTAAATAACATTGATAGTAAATTGGTTGTCTATTGACAGACAGAAAGCTTATTAGTCTCACTTTCATTTTAATACCTCTCACAGGGTCGAAGCGGACTTTTTCATCAAAGTTATAACCTCGGCGTGAAAAATAGACGAAATATTCCATAACGACCTAATTGTGTATTTTTGCATTTATTTTTACAAAAGTTAAAATGTATGATTAAAATTGGCTAGACTTTAATAATTTCTTATTTATACAATTGAATCAAACTATTTTACAAATTTCAACTCTTTTAATTCTTTTAAAGTGTAACATTTAATCAATTTTTAAATAGAAAGACTATAGATACATATACTATTTAAACTATCTCTCAATAAATATGCGTGCGCTGCGCCCCAAAAGTTTAGAGGCTTTAAAATTCAGTGTTAACAGGGAGTCTTCGATAAAATTCCGACTTAAAGTTACAATTTCAAATTAAAGTTACAATTACAGTTAAATGCTGCTCCCCGAGGAAATAGAACATTGCTTGGCACCCTGAATAACAGCGAATTTAAAAATATTTGACAGATTCTCTGCAAATATTGGGCCGGAATTCATTAAGATAAAATACAGATCGTCGATACTGAAGACACAAAGTTTGTTTAAACAAGCAAGTGCAAGTAGTGTAAGGGTGTAAAGTAAAAAAAAACCTATATGTATAGTTACGTCCTACTGTTGGGCACAGCTCTTCTGTATTGACATGTTCCACCATGCGGTTCCACTGCGGATTGGCGGACTTCACATATCTTCTAAACATGTTTTTGGTTATTATTTGGAAAATATGCAGGTTTCCTCACGATGTTTTCCTTCAGCGCTGAGCAAGTGATAAGTCAGCTCTTAAAATTAACAATTGCAATGGTGCCGGCGCCGGGCATCGAACACAGGTCGTTCGAGTATATTGAATTAAAAGCGAGAGCCCGGATAATAAGCTATCACAGTTCTAAGGATTCATTGACACTTGGTTTTCTCACAAATCCAAGTTGAGGCTTCAAAACTAACACCAGTAGAATAATTTTATTTATTCATTTAAATAATACAATATTTTTAAAATTTTCGATGATGATTTTCTACTTTTGATTTGAAATAGAAGTAAAATGTGCCGAAGACATTGAGCTATGTCACTAATCCAGCCTAGGCACATTCTGAACATTACAAAACTTGTAGTTATGTAATGTTCTCTTGATAGCTATTGACTTGGATAAATTCTTTACCCTGCAATTTAATATGATACCGATATTTTCATTAGGTATAGCGCAACGGTACGCGGTTAAGGTATCAGTGGCGATCGTCACACTAAATGCCGTCACTTTCTAGGACAGTCATAGAAAGTGAAATATATCCGCGCTATTAACCTTGACCACAACTTGGAGACAGTAAATAACAATAAAATTTGTTTTTTTTTATGACAACCGATGTTTCTATATCGTGAGAATTGTGTAGAATCAAATAATTATAAATAATATCATAAAACTACAATGATATATATATATATATATATATATATATATATATATATATATATATATATATATCATTGCAAAAACTTATATATATATATAACTCGTGATTGAACAATCCGGGTTGAAAGTTACAGTATAGTCCTTTTAACATTTTTCTGTGTCATTGATAGAAAGGTTTATAATTATTTACTTGTGGTAGGGCCACGCAACAGTCTTCTCTGTTGCACGAATGGGCAGGTCGTCCGGGTCAGTACCACGACTTCACAGAAGTGAAGTGGAAGTGTTATACTTCTGAGTTTCGTCCGGTGAGTGAGGTAGCCGGGGCCCACTGAGCCCACTTTATTAAAAGGTCTCTGTCATCTAGTCATTCATTCACACAGAAAGACTTAAGCTATAATTTATATACGTATTTTTATGTATATAAATTATAGCTTAAGTCTTTCTGTGTGAATGTTACGCCTTCAACTATTCTACGCGGGCAGCAGCTAGTATGTTATAATAAACATCACAAGACAACTTTATCATCATTAATAAGGCAAACATTTTAATCTAGCATAAAGAAGTGTAATAATTTATTTTGTCAATAAGGAAGTCGTATGGTTAGGTATCGTCATATTTTTTACTTTTCCCATAATATAAATGCGTTGCCCACCTTTTATTACCCTACACGTACGCAACAGACGAAACGCGAAAGTATAATAATTGTTCTTTACGTCGGACTTCTGTAGCCATGACTCCGGACGAACCTGCTCAGTCATGCAACTGCCGACGCTTACTAACTACTGTACTTCAGTGCTCCTACCATTAAAATATTTTAAATAAAAAAGAAATTACTTCTAGTTATGAATTTAAAAATCATCGATTTTGTTATGCTCATGAAACATACACAATTATACATTGTTCGCGTAACGGAACATTAACTTTGTAACGTAATGAACCAGCGTAACCCAAAATAGTAACGCCAATCCTTATATTTAGATTTATATAGTCTATTAGTTAACGTTAGTCGAACTAATTGCCGTCATGTCGAATTTGAGATCTTATGATCCTGAATTCTAAACTCAAAAGAATACGCTAATGAGCTTATTATTTCTGGCTTTTAAGTAAGTGTATTGAAATATGGAAGGAATCTGATATCTTTGTCTACCACCTTAAGTTCAAGTAACGTTAAACTCACGGTTAAATTGGCAATTTTATTAAGCTTCCAGAAACGAGTCTAAAGACAGAAAGCTTACCTTCCGAGTCTAACAGTTAGCAAGCTCTAATAAAAACAGTCCAAGCAACAGTATTTACCCACAAACTCATGAGTTAAATTGTGAACTGGCAAAATTAATTCTAAATATTTTGTTCATTTTATATATTGTTAATTATATATTTATATAAGTCTAATTCATTAATTATTCTATAATTTAGTAAATTTGAATCCTGAAATTTTCCAGATTGGTAATTCTTAGAAACCTTGCTTGAGAAATCTGTAACTTTCGCATCAAACGGCTTTATTTAAATCACGCCTATAATTTTGGCATAATATTTGTTTATTTTTTTTAGTAAATTTATATTTTTTGTACAATTTGCAGAATCGAATTTTATAATACATTTAAAGTTCTCGTTTGAAATCGCTTATTCACAAATTAAAGGACGTTTAAAAGATAAGCATCAACCCTTAATAATATAAAACTTTTGTGAAATATTTTAAACAATTGAATTCTGTGACGAACGTTCGATGAATAGATAACTCGTATTGATAATGCAGGTATCGGTTGAATAATCTTTAAAAGAGTTCAGAACGAATTGATTATTAGGTACGCTTTTTGGATATCTCTGGAACTTAGTTTGAGAAATGTGTTTACGTTTGGTCAACGCTAAATGAATATTCATTGTTTCTGGTAACTCGGCGTGAAGTTATAGCAGCCAGGTGTATTAAGCAGTTATGAAGTCGAAATCTTAGTTGTTATCCTGTATTAGTAACGTCATCCCGCTTGGCGGGGCTCCTTAACATATAAAAACGTACACGCAACCAACCCAAAATCAGTTAAAATCATCAATTAATAAATGTTGAACTTCATTTTTATAACAAATTATGATTAATTTTAAATACGTCTGTGTCAAATATGCTCCCAACAAAGTAAAAACGTGAGTTCCTTCTGAAAATTATTGACAAACATTACTTTTGTACGCAACTTAATGTCAGATTTCCTTCGTGTATTGCAAAATTTAATTTTTTACCTCCTAATTATTAATTCGGCTTTGTTTTTCTATCGATTAAAAGTATTTAATAACCAAAAGATGTTTAAAACATTTCTTAATAAACTTAATGTACAGTACGTAATATGAACAAATGACTTAATATTGTTCGATAGTTTTTCCCTATTTTACAACCGAATTACCTACATTACTAAAATGCATTGTGGCCTGATTAAATATCTCTATCAATTTGCGTTTTTTTCCAATGCAGAATCGAAATAGGGAAAGCAGTTTGGGCAATAATAGATACGTCATACAATATACTAATCTATATATAGGTACATATAATAAAATATGTACCTGGTCGTTGTGGATACATGGAAAATATTTGAAATAATCTATTATTGCCAAAACAATGGTTTTTAAAATTTTTGTCTGTTTACCTGTGCGTTAGTGCGCGCTCAAAATGCAATGTAGTAAGCTTCACTTTAGAGTTAGTTTTATTCAAATCGGTACATAAATATAAAAGTTATAGCTATCATCTTTGTGCGAAAAATGCTATATTAAACTGGATGAAACTATAGTTAACTTTATATTATGGTCTATAAAATGATGATGATTGTAAGTTTATATAAAGTTAAAAAAAATCGGCCAAGTGCGAGTCGGACTCGCGCACGAAGGGTTACGTAGGTACTTACTTTTTAAGCACGATATAAAATGTAGTACATGCGGGCGGAGCCGCCGGCTAAAAGCTAGTCATACATATAAATCAAAAACCTTTACTAGTTCACCTTAGTCAGTCCAGCAAGCCAAAACAAAAAAAGCCTTTATGTACTTATTTAAAATTGCGTTTCTTGTATGTTTGTAACCTTATTTGAGCACCCCTTTATCCATAAAAAGTAATGTCTAATTGAATAATGAACGAAAGCCCGTCCTACTTTTGTAGACTTTAAGTACCTACATTCCATGTTCCTATTTATAAAAAAAGAGTTTTAAGTTGTCAATAACCCTACTTTTCGATTACGTTGTTTAAATAAGTAAAAATAGTATTTTTTTCTTGCTCTGACACACTTTTCTTTCGCCGAAGATTACGCCGCGGCGATGTAATAGGAAATAGACTGTTTTTTTTGGGTTGCTGTTACGTCTACTTTAAATTTTTTTTTCTTTTATATGACTGAGTCGTACTTCCGTATTTTAACTGATTGCTTTAGTGCTATTTTATATTCAAATTATGTATTGACAAAAATATTTACAATATACAAATAAATTAGGTGTAGATAATACGTTATTAAGTTAGTATTTCTTACCTTTATGCTTACAAAATCACCGGTCAAAAGTGGTTGTAAGACAGTGACAGCACACATACACAAGTTTCGTTCATCAACGAACTCACACATAACTTTAATTATATTCTCACACATGTTAAATGGTATGAAAAAGATAGCGCAATTAATCCCTTGCATTTTGCCAACTCTTAAGTAGTGCTTGGGCATCATGCCCGTCGCGGTAAGTACCACGATCTTACGAAGACCAGCGTGAAGTGGAAGCGTTTCGTCCGGTGAGTGAGGTAGCCGGGGTCTTTATTAAAAGGTCGCAAAGAATCTGCAACCCTACGGCTGTTGCAACTCTGAACCCTCGTCTCCATCTCACATATAAAAAAAATCCTTCCTCACTGAATACTTATATTTAACCTTCGAGCGAGAAAAGAAAATGTAGTTTGATAGAGATTAATAAAAATCGAACTTCTATTGTTGTTGGCACTTTGTGTTTTGCACGTAACTGTCAAAGAAAAGAAAGCCCGACGACTCCATATCTATAGGTATCTCTATTAGAACAGTAAAAATTAGTTTCTATTAGAAGAGTAAAAATTAAACCAGAACACCTTTATACTTATTTTCTAAAATAAAACTTGATTTTCGAAACTATCCATCTTTACTTTCGAAATGTGAATATTTCTTCATTTCAATACTATCAATATGTATGATATTGGACAAGAATTCCTAAATCGATGTTCTTTTTTTGAGTTGAAGGCTTACTAAATTGGTGTTCTTTTTTGAGTTGGATCATCAAATTTTAAATCACACTGAAAAAAATATGTGTGAAGTTTTACCGTCTTACTCAGATTCTAATAAAAAAAGAATATTTTATTCTTTATAAGTTGCTGTCGGATTTAAGACGTACGTGTACAGTGGGCCTATCGGGTCCGCATAGTATCATTTTAATTTTTATTTTATCAAATCTGTTGCCGTTACATGTAACATATTTACAATATTATGTTACAGAGCCTTTTAGCTGTATCGTCAGTAACAGCAATAAGAGTTCCAGTTACTAAGAATGAAGATAACGCTAGTGCCTCAGTATTAAGTGCAAACGAACCCAACCAGCCAATTTACTACACGCAAGAGGATATAAATTTACCAACATATCTCATTCCACCTGATACCCAAAGGCAGGAGGAAGTTATACTCGATGTTGCACCAAAACTAGCCACGTATTTGTTACCACCGTCAACCGGGAAGCAATCTGATTACTATTACGATGGAACGGGTACCGCTCAACAGAGTGATTGGTACCCCATAGCAAAAGTTTCTCAAAACTCACCAGACGTCGTACCAATAATTCTACCTGAATTGAACGAGACGGAAGCCCTCAAAATAATCGAGAACGTAAGAAATGGCAAGGCACTACAACACGAACAGTTTTCTCTTCCAACGCCTTCGACAAAATTAGAGCCTCCTGCTCTTAATGCACCTAATGAGTATGTGGTCTTAAACTCGGATGAAGTAGAATTACCCGTAAACGGTAATCACTTACTAAATAGACATCAAAACATAGATCATGGACGCCCTGCCTTTAGCAAAGATCAAAACAGATTCCATCCCCATTTGTTTAATGTCAATAAAAATAAATTACTAAACAAACCGAATGTTGTACCGTATAAAGCAATTCATTCAGCGTACAAAGTACCTACAAAACTCTATCCTAAAAAGTATACAGAAGGATTCACACCGGTTCCCATTCCGGTATCCCAATTCGTTGATGATTACTCTAGTGAAATTCCAAAAGCGAGGCCTTTAAAACCATTTCATCCAATCTTGAGTGTAAACGATGAATATGCCCCATCTGATGATAAAAAAAGTTATCTCTACGAACAGTTAGAAAAGGGACGCAAGGAAAGCGAAGCTAAATCACCAGAGAAGGTGAGTTAAAATATTATATAAAATCAATATTTCTATAAATCTTTTACTAAATAGGAAGCCTATACAGCAAGACTGTCGTTTTTTAATGTTTTAAATTCAAAATCATTCGAATCAGCCATTTTGTGATTGTTGACTTTGTATAGTTTCTGGCGAATTAACGACGTAGCACATACTTAAGTGAAAATAGATTCATTATCATGTAATGTGTCCATTAGCTCTGGCTAATATAAATCATGGCATTGTTGAGAAATAGTTAGCCATAAGCTAAAACCGGTACAGTGATACGTAAATGTTTTACAGCATCATTCTACTTCGGACGAGTCTTATGAAGACCAACCATTTAAACCACAATTGAGTGAGCAAGAAACTTCGGAAAGCCATTTAAGATATCCTGAACGTGAGTATACATTATGTAACTGTCAACTGACGATAATCCGTCACTTTTCGTCAGAAAGCGTAAAAGTGATTTAAACAAGTGTTACTCAATAGGCCTTTATAAATTATTGCATGGAATGAAGCTCTAAATAAAAGAGACTGTGCTCTTGCACACACTGATTGCGCTTTATAATCGATTTCAAACAATTTTACCATCAAAGCCGTCTTACGAAAACTGATAACTAATTGAATATGATTGCAACAACTCATAATTTCATTACAAATGACAATATAGGCATTGGCCTATATGGCTTCGGAATAGACATTCGTCTCGAGGGAAAGTTGAATTATACTACGAGCAAGTACCAGTTCCGATATCCGGCATTACGCGGTCGATGACGTGCTGTTAGAGTGTGTGATGTAATTTCCCAGGAAGCGAGTACGCAGCGCCGCTTGGCCAAGACTCGCCGCGACCAGCCGCACTCAAGATTAAAGAGCACCCTCCTCCCCCTCCTGGGGAACGGACGGAGTTCCGCATGCACGGCATGAAAGGCCCGCATAGCTACCAATTCGGATACGACACCGGCAAAGGGTAACTACTAACGTTCGTTTAATCTACACGACATAGCATTCGATCAATTTACTTCCCGTATTTGACAGGATTCCTCTCAAACTAGTAAATAGTAGTAGTAGTTTTCTGACGCAACAAGTTCGCCATTTTTTCCTGAATATATTTGCACAGTTAGGGTAACATTGTAAAAAGTAGAATATGAGAAGGCGAAGCAAAAGATTCAAAGTATATAAAAAACATATGTAGAACTTACCTAGTTTAAAAAGACAATTGATTTTTTAATTTAATTTGTTTAAAGTTGAACCTACGTGAATCGCGTAAAAGGATTACAAATTATTAGTTCATTGGTGTTTCGGATTTTTGGCTAGTCAATTTCTCAAATCGAAATACGATTGAACGAACAGTTCTTTCGTTTAATTCAAAAATTAACATTTCAGTAAAAACCGACAGTTCAGATACGAAGAGCGCGATAATGATGGCCACGTCCGCGGCCATTACGGTTACGTAGGTAAGAACGGGAAGCTGAGGGTCGTCAACTATGATGCAGACCCAGAGCACGGTTTCCGAGCCCAAGAGCCGGTTGAGAAAGACGAGTGAAACAGAATCAAGAAAGCGTGAGAAAATTTATCGTATAAATTTATGCTTTTATAAATATGTCGTAGCTCAGGTAATTTAATGGTAATAAAAAAACATTGTGGCAAGTGGCGGCAGAATAAATATTGATGTGTCAATTTTTATCCATGGCTCTTTATACGAAATGTATGCAATTGTTAACGGTTAGTCATTATATTTCGAGATCGAAATGTCTTCACAAAAAATAGCTGTAATTTTAAAGTCACATACCATTTTACCAATATTTAGGCTTTTTGAATAGTCTACACATTGTGTATAAAACTTATTGTTTTAAAACATTTTGATATATTTTCCATCCCGCAAAATATGTACTGTGAAACATTCATTTTCTATTGTAATTTAAAAAAATGTAAAATCTACAATTGAGTAAAGTTTACAACAGGGCCGATAAACCCCGATTTAAAAGTTAAGCCGTTAAAAGCTTTGGCTGTTATATATGTAACAAAGTTTTGGGTCTACACTTTCGTTAAAATATTGGGTGTTGAAACGATAAATTGTTTTGCTGTGTTATTTAATGCAACGTTCTCAGTTCGTATGTGGTGTATAGAATAAATTGAATTAATGAAGAAAAAAAAACGGTTTGGTACATGTGATGTTGGAATTGTTAAGAAATGTATTAGTGCGAATGTATAGAATAAATTGAATTAATGACAAAAAAAACGGTTTGATACATGTGATGTTGGAATTGTTAAGAAATGTATTAGTGCGACGGCTAAAAATTAACCGTCGCACTAGTACATTTCTTAACAATGTGTGTCTTAACGTTTGTTAAAAATGTGATTTTATTAAGAAATGTTGTTACGCAGATTGTTTGAATGTTGAATAATTTATTATATATCATTGATTTGTAAATTACAAGATACAAATTAAAATTTTCATAAAATCTTTTTATTTCAGTACCCAAGAAATTTTCATAAAACATTGTATTAATGGAACATTTACGTTTAACAAATAGGTCAGCAAGAAAAACTTCAGTGGGAGTAAATAAAAATTCAGATGATATAGATAGAGAATAAAGTACCTTTACTTTATTTCAATAAAAACTTGTATAAAAACATTTTATTTTATGTTAACGTGCTCGTGGAAGATTTTCATCCAGATGCTTTTCTATAACGCCCAACAGACTGGAGGCGCCGATCCTAAACAGATCAGGGCAAAGCCATTCTGGGCCCAGCTCACTGTGTACTAAAAGGAGCCAGTTAATAGCGTCTCTCGCCGTCTTTATACCGCCAGCCGGTTTGAGACCAACCTGCGAGGGAATTTTGAATTAACTGAAATTAGTAGAACGGCTGTACTTTACTTTCATGTAACTGTTTGAATTGAAACGGCTGAACTTTTTTACTAATAGATGGTTTCAAGTTAAACCTTTCTCTTTTATTTATTTTTAATATCATCTCTTAAAAAAAGGATTACTTTATTTTAGTGCAATAATTGACACATACTAACAGATGGTAATTATTTCAAACTACTTGCCCCGTGCAGAACTTACGATCCACATCGCCAACGCCTAATAAATTAGCAACAGCGTGGATCAGGCCAACGAGCTCGGAGAACATAACTATTCTGTTGCGGCATCCATAATATCCTTCTCTTAAAGAGTATTTTCAAGATGCTCGTGAAGTACCTTAACTCCGGTTATTTGATAAAAGTTGCGAATCGCTCGGCACATCACCAAGCCGACCGGTAGAGTCGCATTGACTGCTTCTTTTCCTGTTGAAGTTTTAATGAAATCCGCCCCCGCGGCCATTGACAGCATTGCAGCCTTGTATACCTATGGGAATGTGGTGAGAATATAAAGTTTTATCACAGAAGAAGTAATTATTGGTATTGTTTCATCAATGGAGCTAATATATAATATATATTAGCTCTATTGATGAATAGAGAATAAAGAATATAAATATAATACCTAACATAATTTGCAAAAAAAATATCATTACTAATAAATGTTAATATTATCATCTTCCTGCCCTTATCCCACCTAGGTGGGGTCGGTACAACATGTGAATCATGTTGTAAGCGGTATTGGGTATGTTTTTTTTTTTACGACCAGCCGCCTGCCTGACGTCAACCCTCTTTGGGAAACAAACAGCCAGATCTGGGACAATCCTCTGTGGGTCACACAAATACTTCTCCTGTTTAAGAATCTACCTACAACGGCGAAGCCAATAGCTTAGCAACTGCGCCATCGAGTCATCCAATGACCAAATGATAATACCAATAAATAATAAAACAAAATAAGGGCTTTTTTGAGATGCTAATTTTTAATTATTAAAAGGACTCAACTATCAAAAGGGGTACTTTCGATGCACGAATTTTTAAAATATATTTACATCCTTTAAATCTGATATGAATTGCCGTATTATTTTAAACAAGAACTTATGATTATAGTAAATTATCTTTGTAAAAATACGATCGAAAAACAAAACAACGAAATCTCACATTTTCATATGAGCCAAGTTCCCCGACCCCGAGGATCACTTTCAGATGAGCTTCGCCACATGCTTTTCGCATTTGTTCAACTTCGCTGTACAGAGTGTCCCATTTGCCCATTAATGCTAAACTTCGGTCCATCACTACATCGATTTCCGTGGCGCCGTTAGCAACTGCAAACTTTATCTCTTGTAGCCTGGATTCTAGTGGATACAATCCCGACGGAAATCCAGTGGCCACTGCAAAACAATTATATGTTATTTATTTTTTTCAATTTTTATAGTGCTCATCTTTGCACATAAGATTAAACATTATAATTTGTGGAAAAGAAAGAAATAGAAGCGGGAAACGAACCACGTCTTAAATTTGCCCCCAGACGGTTTAACCACTGAGCTCAATGGCTGATTGCCACACTGACGAAAATCACAATGTATTTTATGTACATTGTTTTTTCGCATTTTGGGCAATGCTTTGCGCGTCTATTGTTATCTTTTTACAACAGAAAAACAATTTCTTGTATCGTTTTACAACGATAATTTAAACGAGAGATGTCGCCATTGCTAGTAGAAATTTAATTTTTTATAGTACTTTACACTACAGATGATGAAAATTTGTAGAAAAAAATAGACGATAAGTTTCTCGACGCTGCGGGAATCGGGCCCATGTCTTCCGGATTCGCAACCAGATGGTTTTCTCATACAATTGGCTCCCCATACTACTCATACCCAAACGGGGGCATCCAAAAGGTATTTCTTTTTAACACAGATCTCTTGGATCCATCATAGATATTCAAATGTAAATAATATGTTTCATGTACCATGTATACAATAAAATGATTATGTTTAATTATGTTCTGTAACAAATAAGCTTAGCAAAGTTTTGCTTACATGATGATGATACCTTCCTTCACAATTAAGGGACAAAAGCCTTAAAATCATAAGGTAAAGAGTACTGAAAATAATTGAATGAAAATTACCGGATGCAATTTTTATAGTTTCAGTTAATCCCATCTGCTTAATGATATCATAGGCATCAGGTACTCTCGTTGGATAAACACACACAGCTGCTGTCCTAATTTTGTTCTCCTCATTAATTTTTAACCTTTTCAAAATTGATGTTGATAGTGGATATGCAGCCTAAAATGAAATAGTATAAATATTTTTTAGTCCTTGTCTTTAGGGAGTGGGCCTTTAAGTATGCTTGTGCAACAACAAATGAAAAGGGTCTCACAGGTATAGTGTGTGTGTTAGATAATGCTCTATGAAAATAAGCCAATTGTGTCTTTCCAAATATTCATGTGTAATATTTATCTCCAAGTACTAAAGTACTAATGATGATGATGGATAGGTATTTACAAAAGCTCTAATTGTATTGTATATAAAAGTACAACGATTCCTTAAAGATTCTTTCACATTATACCTGTTTATTTATTATGTACGAATATCTCTTGCAAACATTTTTAACACTTTTTAAGCTTAATTACAAGGGCTTTTAAATTAAAGTTTAATTATAAGGGCATTTAGGCTTACCAAAGATTATAAAAGATTATAGTTATAAACTACAAACCTTTAAACATAATCTAAAAACATTAGATCTAGTGTCATCACCTGACAGTGTAGTCAAATCAATTAATGAAATTGCTTTTAATAGCCAAGTATTTACATTTTCCATACTTGTAACATGTTTGGTTTTTAATAATAATTCAACTTGGGACTCCAAAGTGGTTTTATCAAGAAAAACGTTTTTTAACACTCCATATTCTTGAAGAATTGATGAATCTGAAAATTGTTTTTTTTATAACAAACTTGCTCATTGATTTTAATGTTTATAGATTTTTCGTTAAACATGTCGACTTTATAATAGCAAGATAACTAAAATAGAATAAAAGAACTCAAAAATTATTGTATCCTATATTAATGAATAAGGTAATTTATAACATATTTCTCTTACCTAATTTCTTGTTACTTATTACCAACATATTAATAGTAATAAAATAATAATTTTACTGATAAAATAAAATAAGCCTGGTAACCGCAAAACTATTATCATTAACAAAACAAAAGTTCATTCATACATAATATCATACGATGTCGGATCATTATCATTACGATGATAAGGATTACAAAGTCGTAAAAGAAATGTCACAATTGACAAATGTCAAATTTTATTCTGTCACAGGCACAGGTCATCACTGTCGCTAGCAAACGATGATTTTTTTATTGCTATTCTTTAAATTTTTTAAATTATACTTTTTGGCGTGTTTGGGAAAAATTATGAGAGGGAATTTTTACGATGTACGATACCTAAAATTGAAGCTAACTTTATGGTGTTACTATCTTAATTAGAGTACGATTATTAATTCCAGTCAGTAAAATGACAAGTGCAACTGTCATTGAAACAAAAAAGGGTGACCCGATACAATAGTGATGTCGGTAATCAATAGACTTAGACATTTAGTCATGCTTTGTTTTATAATAGGTATCAAAACGTTTTTTTTATTGTAAATATTTTATACATACCGTATTAAATAATACGATTTTAGAAATATGGACCTTACCAGCATATTAAAATTTCTTAATACAACATTATTACAAAAACTGGGAAAAAATGTATAAAAAGATACAGAGGAATTAACACTAGAAAGTCAGGAAAATACAAGTAATTTTATACGTTTTTAATCATTACGGTTGTTATTGATTCCGACTCCGATTCTGAATCGGTATAGTCAGAATCAGTTATGTTTATAACGGACTAGCTGCTACGTCCGCGACTACGTCTGCGTAGAATAGACTGAAGGCGTAAAGTTCCGACTGAGACAGATATTCTTAAAAATATGTGTATAAATTATAGCCTATGTCTTATTCTGATGTATAAGCTATATAATTGCAAAGTTTTATTAAAATCCATCCAACAGTATTTGCGTGAAAGAGTAACAAACATCCATCCTTACATACAAACTTTCACCTACCCTACAACCATTTTGCACGAAAGGGGAGGCTCGTCCGGGTAAGTACCCCGACTTCACAGAAGACCGGCGTAAAGTGGAAGTATAATACTGTCGCGTTTCGTCTGGCGAGTGAGGTAGCCGGAGCCCAATTTTCAAAAATCAAAATCAAAATCATTTATTCATCGACATAAGAAACTTACATTTCATCTATCGATAGTCATATATTTTTTTTAAATCTACCACCGTTTCGTAATGAGGTTCCTCTAGCGGAGAAGAAACAAGCGAAAGAAACTCCGTAGGTATCCTCTTTTTTTTTAATTCATTTTTTTCTTAAAAAAAATTAAAATATTATACAACTGATTTTTTTTTCTTTTAAGAAATAGCTTGGGAGCGATCAACTCATTCCCAGGGGTTATTGTCATTAATGTATTCATTTGTATTAGAATAACCCTTTTCTTTAATAAATTTCTTAAACCTGTTAATAGACAGGTTTTGCGCATTTACTGGGATTTTGTTGTAAAAGCGTATACACCGCCCCATGAACGAGTTACTTACTCTATGGAGTCTAGTAACTGGCGTTACAAGTTTTGTGCAAAAGGTTGTCAACGCATCTGCAACCTTCGGGTGTAGCGGATGTCCATGGGAGGCGGTATTCACTTAACATAAGGTGAACCGTCTGCTCGCTTAGCAAATTTTCACATAAAAAAAACCCCTTTGCTTAAGCTCAAACTAACTCTATTGGGTTGAGCTCACCACTGATAAGGGGGCAGACGCAGGATTGTGACACCGTATTCAACGGCCAACTCTTCCACAGCATAGCGTTCGTAAACAGATTTTTGTAATTTTACTATTTCTATTAATTGAGCCTTTGTCATTGTAGGTTGATATTGAATTTACTTTTCATCCAACCACTGAATAATATCAGCCTTCCGCCAGTTTGAAGTGGGGATACGCTTGACTCTTCTTGAATGTTACGGTGCGTTAACTAATAACCAGCACCGCATTTGGCTTTAAATTTGACAAAATGCTTTTAAGCCATTCCTCAAAACACTCCAAGTTCATTTCTTCATGATAGTCCATACTATTTTTCTTCAATTCAAAAATAAGCAAACCGGCTTCTGCAAAACCTTCATCACTGCCTATATGTCAAATTATTAGGCGTCGACCTTTTGTTGGGCCCTTTAAGCCTGTAGTCAAACCTTTAGAAAACGCTTGTTTGGAAGATTCCATTGTTGTATCCACCCAAACTTTACCAGTTGTATGACCTGTTAATATACAAAATTCATGTAAATAATATAATAACGACACAAATACATTTTGAAACTTAAAAACTATGCACTAAATTTACCTTCTTTACCTTTCCTTCTTTACCTTCATTAATCCAGGTCTCATCTTGATAATAAATTATTTTTTCTTGTCTCCGATATTCTTTGAGTCTTTGTGTCAAGTACTGTCTACGCCACAGAATTAAGTCTTGCCAGTCTGTCAAGCAGCTGCGTCGTTTGCGACTGGCATTATTAAATTTTAAATGTTTTAAACTGCTCCCATAGTACACTTTGACATATTTGGTAGGTCAGGGCCATCATTTACAACCTGATGAACCTGTAAAATATAAAAATATACCTTGGCAATAGTTGGAGGGCCCTTCGCATAAAAGAAGTGGTGAACTTTACGACGTATCGCCGAAAAGTCAAAATCATCAATTTTATCTTTGAATGTCAGTTTGGGTTCGGATTTTTGCCGATTTGATAACTGAACGTTCTCCTTTAGTTCTTTCAGTATCCGATACACAGATCTAGTCGAAATTCCCAAAATTTCAGATACTGTCTTCACACACTTATCTTTCTTTGGAACATCAAAGGTTTTGCTGCATTTTGATTTCATACATAATTATATGCATTGAGAATCATTTGTTTCACACTCACAACAAATGATCGCTTTCTTTTTGGAGGGAGACATCCCTCTTTAGAGGTAGACGGACCAACGTAACAAAACTCAACAAAAAATAACAAGGTAATTAGTAAGAAATAAACAAGAAATTGCAGAGGACACTAAACACTACTGACACCGTCGGAATTCGGGAGCAGAATGAAAAAATCAAAATTGCGTCCATAGTGCTTCCAATAACCAAAAACAAATAATATAACAGTATTTTATATAATATTAAATTACTTACCGTGTATGTCTTCTGTTTGATTACCGTAAATTACATATTTTTATTTATATAAAGGTAATTTGATATTGAATAAAAAAAATGTAATTACGACTAACTTTCAATTGTAAAAACTCGATTCTAGCACATCACTATTTATTATGGACTAAAAACATGCATCACTGGAAATGTCATTTTACTGCCTGGAATCAATAATCTTACTTTAATTTGTTATTATTATCGCTTAACGTAGAGCGGACTTTTTCTCATGAATATATGTACCTAACACTATTTTTGACTCATCTATAACTCATGTAGTTAAAAACAATTTTTTGACATTTACTTTATATCTATAATTTCCAGTTATTTAATTAAACTGTTATCAATTGCATTTAATCTCTTTTTGTTCACAAACAAAGACTACTGAGGATATGCAAAATTTTTAGTTATTTTTCGTTTGTTACGCTAAAGAAGTATAACTTTTTACATGTGAACTCAAGTACACACACATACGTTTTTGTAATAGTTGGTCCCGTTATACACAAGCTAGTACCTAATAATTTTGTTTTTAAAGGACTTCAATAAAGAGGGAGGTTTCTCAATTCGACCGTATATCTTTTTATTTTTTTTATGTATGTTTGCGGATAACTTCGTCGTTTATGAACCAATTTTGATGATTTTTTGTTGGAAAGGAGATATCCCAAGGGTGGTGGAAATCGAGGGCAATCCTCAAATGTAATACTTACCTGTGTTGACAATGTTTTTATTAGTTTCCTGTTTGAAGTCGGTTTTTTTTGTTCAAAATTATATAGAAACAAATGGTGAGAATAAGACCTACTAATTACGTTACTCTAGTAGGGTTACGCATCAGTCTTTGCTGTTACACTAATGCTTATGTAGGTAATAAAAACTACGTGTATATGGAAAGGTTTTGTACAATAACGTAATAAAGGCATTAATATTATTAATGTTATAATATAGGAGAAAATTATGAGAGGAAAACTTTTATACGATGCGCGCGCACATCAGCTTCCATAAGTGACATGATGAAGTTAGTTGCAAAGCGACCCATTCCATTTTAACGAACTTCACGGCATTATCACGCCAACCAAGTACAACTTTTTGATATTTACCAATAGGTATAGTAGGTTAAATAAATACCTATATTGTAGGTAACTTAAAATATAAGCAACTTGGAATTATAATTCCAAGTTATTTATTATACCGTTATCGTTTGCATGTAATGTGTTTTTCACCAAGACAGAGTACTGGCACGGGGGATAGAATTTTTATTTTTTTATGTTTCTATTGTTACGCTAAAGGAGTATATCTGCTCACGTTCGTACAAACTCCTGTAATCAACAACAAACATTTGAAAATTGTGTTATTAGTCAATTATATTGCAATTTTTCTGAAAGAACATTATTAAATAAATAAATATATAACATTAAACTCATTTAGTAACGGCGACATCTCTCGTTTCGAATTATCATTATAAAACGATATTTGAAATTTTTTGTATGCTGTAAAGGACATAATGAAATGTAATGTAGAAACTCAACGTATTTCACCTTTCGTTGTTGTGGCAATCAGCCGTTTAGCTCGGGATTCTCACCCTGCCGCTTTACCACTAGTAAAAACGTCAGGGTGAGAATCCCGAAGACATGGGTTCGATTCCCACAATCACTACGTTTTAGCCTCGCAATAGGGTAGAGAGAACGGTACAACCGACACTCTTCAAAAATGCAAAGGGCTGCAACATCCCTTTGCAGGGCAAAGAGTCGAAGCGGGCCGGATCGAAATAGATGGAGCTGGTATTTCGGTCCCCCCGCCCTGAAACTTTTCCATGAGTGGCCGAATCTGCGCTTTATAGAACTGC